ATTACACAAAGCACTGTTTTCATGTTTCCAGCACACTCACTTTTATTTTCTGCTGCTTTCACTGCGAGTACTTCTATTCTATTAAATTATTACTTCAAAATTATTTCTCCCTGTGCTTTCTTTGTGTAACCTGATTCACAGAAACAGACACATGCGCACACACTCATATATACAATGGAGAGGCACACATGAGTGCAAGTGTCTGAAAAATATAAATTCACACAGCTTGTAGGTTCGCTGCTCGGCTGTGGTTTCCCTCCACCAGCTCAAGGTCACAAGGACAAAGCAGAGGGAAAGCTGACAAAACAGGAAAAGTAGAAGTAGGGAAGAAGAAAAAGAGAGCGAAAGCAAGCTGTGGCCTTTGAACTCCGCATGAAGTGCAAACCAGCAGGAGGTTTGAGAAAAGGAAGAGGAGTTAGGAGAGGCGGGACGTGAAGGTGGGTTTACACGGCGGGAGACGTCCTCGTGTAGGCCTCCTCCTGTGACCTCCTCACTTCATTCAAATCTCTAAACCACTCCCACTCAAACAATCCCTTGTGAAAAAGAAAGGCACAATCAGAGTCATAATAAGGTTAAGGTGCACAGCAGGTGAATCTGGCAGTCACATCCCAGCCAAAATTTGCATCCTCTAAAGCAGTGATTTACTTGAGATTTGGTGGAAATGAAAAAAACTGAGAAGAGAAGTTCTTCTCATGACATATGAAGTCAAATGGAAACAAACAGGAAACATGTGCATTGTATTAAACAGGAGACTGAAGATCTGACACACATGAAAGAACAGTGGTTAGATGAAACATTTTACAGGGCTGTTACATGTTAAATCCACACATTGATATTCACTGCCATCAGATGCCGGTCTGTGTTGTGGGCTGTTACGCACGCGTGCGCGCGCGCGCAAACAGACACAGTCCAGGCAGACAGCTGGTGTGGAAATATGGGCTAAGATAGCTTCTTCGTCTCCATCGACAGGTGACGGAACGTAAATGTGAGGGCGTGCAGCTGTCGCTGGTTCACGCTGCGTGTGTGTCTGTGAGTCTGTTGATGTGTGTGTGCACACAACAACTGTGTTGTGTGCTGCACAGAACGTTATGCATGTAGGTGTAAATGAGGGTGGGATTTTAGCACAGGCTGTCATGTCCCCGCACTTCATTAGAGCTCTGCTAAAGAAGAGACAAGGCAGCATCTCGCCAGCAACATCAGCAATCACCCATCAAGTGTGTGAGTTTGTGCGTGTGTGTGAAAACAGTGCTTAGCTTCCAGCTTTGCCATGTCAGCTCAGTCCATATTCACAGGCACACGGAGAAGGCAGCATCAGCAATCGCTGTCACACTTCTGTACAAGCTACAGTACATCCACCATCATCAATACAGAATTATGTAGAGTGTGTGTGTGTGTGTCCTGTAACCTTTACCTTGTATAGATTATATACTGAGTTTCTGCCTCAGAAGTCTCTTAGCCCCCAACCTGAACAACCCAGGGCTCATTAGTTCCATTTTTCACAAAAAATAATAATCGGTGTCGTTATTTAAAAATCTGATTTAAGAAATTAATTATACAAAAATCTGTATGTAAATGGTAAAAAATAGCACGGACAGCACAGATACTTGTAGTTTAAATGTTTATTGGGTTTTTTTGTGTTTTATGTGATATAAAATATGTGTGGCAGCTTGAACAGAGCCGTGAATTATTAGTGAAAATTGCTAAGAAGTGAAAATAATAACACAGCAACCCCAATCCCCATCATGCCTGGTTGGTAGTGAGATAGAGAGAAATAATCCACACAGGAAGACGGCCAAACATTGTAAAATCTCCCTTTGTCCATCTGTATAGCTTACAACAGTAGATACGCACACATACATGGCACCAGTGTATTTAGTAGTACAGACAAACTGTCAAAACACATAGAAAATCAGCATGCATGCAAACACAAATGCACAGACTGATGCACAGGTACACAGTATCTCTCTATTTCTGTCTTTCTCTGTTACTCTCTCTCTCACTCACTCACTCACTCACTCACTCACTCACTCACACACACACACACACACACACACACACACACACACACACACACAGAGCCAGCTGTGTGGTGGAAGCAGGTGTCACTCTCAGCTCATTACCCCTGGCAGGGTTGATCACCCTGTTTGGAGAGCAATAAGACACACCTCACTGGAGAGATAGAGGGATGAGAGGGCAGGAGGAGAGGAGGAAGAGGAGCTGGGATGGGGAGAGGGGAGTAGGGAAGGAGAGAGGGAGTGTCGGCCTCCTGCTTGAGGAGATAGAAGGATTTACAAAGGTAGCAAAGTAGAGAAGAGGGGGTGTGCAAAGGAGCATGGGGTTTGTGAGATAGGAGGAGGGAGGAAAGCACAAGGGTGATGGGAGAGGTGTGGGGATGGAGGTGTTTTGGATGGAGAGGCTTGAAAAAGAAACGGAAGCAAAAGCACGTATTAAAAATGTTTGTTACGAGTTTGATCATATTTTGTCAGTTTTAGCAATCGTTTCTTTCAATAATTACATTGCAAGTTAATTGTTGAGATTTCATAATGCAGCAACATCAGAAAACAAATCCCAGCTTACCCAAACATGTTTTAACCAGAAAACTAAGGCAAGTGTATAATTATTCTGCAACTCTTCATTGTTAACATCCACCAGGTCCAAAATTGACCCACCATACTTGCTGTAGCACACATTTGTACAATGCAGTAAGGGAGTATTGCTCCCTTATCACCTGCTCTGTGATAGACTCAGAGGTCCGTTTAAAGCGCAGAGAGCATCATGAAGAACAAGGAACACACCAGGCAGGTCCGAGATACTGTTGTGGAGAAGTTTAAAGCCGGATTTGGATACAAAAAGATTTCCCAAGCTTTAAACATCCCAAGGAGCACTGTGCAAGCGATAATATTGAAATGGAAGGAGTATCAGACCACTGCAAATCTACGAAGACCCGGCCGTCCCTCTAAACTTTCAGCTCATACAAGGAGAAGACTGATCAGAGATGCAGCCAAGAGGCCCATGATCACTCTGGATGAACTGCAGAGATCTACAGCTGAGGTGGGAGACTCTGTCCATAGGACAACAATCAGTCGTATACTGCACAAATCTGGCCTTTATGGAAGAGTGGCAAGAAGAAAGCCATTTCTTAAAAATATCCATAAAAAGTCTCGTTTAAAGTTTGCCACAAGCCACCTGGGAGACACACCAAACATGTGGAAGAAGGTGCTCTGGTCAGATGAAACCAAAATCGAACTTTTTGGCAACAATGCAAAACGTTATGTTTGGCGTAAAGGCAACACAGCTCATCACCCTGAACACACCATCCCCACTGTCAAACATGGTGGTGGCAGCATCATGGTTTGGGCCTGCTTTTCTTCAGCAGGGACAGGGAAGATGGTTAAAATTGATGGGAAGATGGATGGAGCCAAATACAGGACCATTCTGGAAAAAAACCTGATGGAGTCTGCAAAAGACCTGAGACTGGGACGGAGATTTGTCTTCCAACAAGACAATGATCCAAAACATAAAGCAAAATCTACACTAGAATGGTTCACAAATAAACATATCCAGGTGTTAGAATGGCCAAGTCAAAGTCCAGACCTGAATCCAATCGAGAATCTGTGGAAAGAACTGAAAACTGCTGTTCACAAACGCTCTCCATCCAACCTCACTGAGCTCGAGCTGTTTTGCAAGGAGGAATGGGCAAAAATTTCAGTCTCTCGATGTGCAAAACTGATAGAGACGTACCCCAAGCGACTTACAGCTGTAATCGCAGCAAAAGGTGGCGCTACAAAGTATTAACTTAAGGGGGCTGAATAATTTTGCACGCACAATTTTTCAGTTTTTTATTTGTTAAGAAAGTTTGAAATATCCAACAAATTTCGTTCCACTTCATGATTGTGTCCCACTTGTTGGTTCTTCACAAAAAATTACAGTTTTATATCTTTATGTTTGAAGCCTGCAATGTGGCAAAAGGTCGAAAAGTTCAAGGGGGCCGAATACTTTCGCAAGGCACTGTAAATCATCATTAACGAGTTCCTATCTGCCCCCCAAGAACACCCAGATAAGCACCTCATGATATTTATTACCTTCTCACACTTACTTATCATTTTCCCTATGTGCTCTGTATGTCAGTTTTTCATCCAACCAAACTCCTAAAAACTTAAAAACCTTAGCTCTTTCTAGAGGCTATACATTGATAGCCCCTGGGTACCCATTTTCTTTTTCCTTCCAAAAATCACATATTTTGTCTTTTGATATAGACAATCTAAATCCCCACTTATCAGCCCAACCCTGCATCTTATCCAAGGCACTCTGCATCTGCCTCATCAAATACCCTATGTTATGGCCTCTCTTCTTTTTTGTTTGACAGTTCACATTATAGTTTAAATGTGGCCCATATCAGACTCCAGTGTTTAATGTGCAATGTGTTTATCACCAACCAAAGCGAACACCACAGGAACAGATGTTCTTAAAATTTGGCTGGAAATTTTCATTATGATTTGTGTACATGTGTGTTAAGTGCTCCTGATTTGCCTGTTTGGGTCTATGTCATAATGTTCAAAATTGTGGAAATGTGAAGGTGTGTAACGCATGTGCATATTGTGATGATGATGATGTAGTTCACAAGATGTGTTTGGCGTTGACATTTCTTCGAGCCAGACCGATACCAACAAGTTTATTTAATCAACCATACAATGTTCCACTCAAGTCGTTATGCATCTTGGAAACAATTCTTAAAAAAAAATAAAAATATAAATCTAAGGTATCTGTATCATTATTGTTTGTTTACGTAAAAACAAAAAGTGCTATTGGCTGTATGTTACGATTATCAGTCAGTATTGCTTATCGTTTAGTATTGTTTAGGCTATAAGCTCATGACAGTAATGCATGTACTGTTTGTATTCTTCTAATTGCACAAATGTTTCTAAGCGTGGTGCTGTATAAGTACCATGTTCTTGTTTATGTCTGTGAACTCATCACGTGTGTGTGCTGTGTTTCTGCAGGTACGACTACAAGGAGATGCTCCACAACTCCACCTTCTGTTTGGTGCCCCGTGGCAGACGACTGGGCTCCTTTCGCTTCCTCGAGGCTCTGCAGGTCAACAAGCAACACACGAACACACACTCCGTTATGAGAGAAAGCACTGCATAGGCCGTAAATTTATACCCCCCAGCAATATTAGTGGGGAGAAAAAGAATCCCCTTCCCACGCTCAACATTGCACTTAGCTGTTGTTTTACTGGTGCTACCTCTAGCATTAAAGGATCACTAAATCATTTCCACCTTAATTTTCCAACTAATAGTGTAATTAGTATAAACAAACAAGACCTTCAAGAAGAGAAGATTAGCAGCTACTTCCTGCCTCTAAACTGTATTTTTACCATTGTAACTTTGGATTTATTTATTTATTTATTTTGCAGATGAACTGTTAAATTGCCTGACCGATCATCCAAGGGCTGCTGGATAAATAGTAATCTGTTACAATATTCTTTATTTTGGTATTTTTTGTCAGATGAACAACTATCATCACCTAATATGTATTTAATTATTTCCCCCATTACTAAATATTTAACCACCTAAACAAACATCCCCTCAAATAATAACATATAGAAAATGAAATAGTTACTGTTCTTGAACCCTTTAGATACAGCCATGATCCTGGTCTCTTCTGAAAGGCACCTCTTTGGAGTTTAGTATTAGGGAGTAAATCTGCATAATGTCATGGTGAAATCAATTAATTTCAGTGGATAGCCAATAACAAACTACTCACAGTGCTGACCTTTAAGGGGAGTCCATATTGAGGGAGATATTGTATTTTACTAGCTGTGCTGCACTATTCCATTTTTATTGTACCCTTCATAGTTTGGTATATAAACTGCTCCACAAATGAGTAATACAGACAGTTGACACAGGAGACAATGGTACAAATGCTTCTTTTTCTAAACTGTGTGAACTTACTGTCTTTCATACTAGCTTGGAGAGCCTTATTTTTCCCTCTTTCCATCTTCACCTACAAAATGACTAAATTCATACTTACTAAATTAAATCATGTAGAATTTCAAGAACAAAATGTAAGGGCAAAGGAAACACAGTTTCCTAATAGAGGGAAAATAGAAAGAAACCAGCTATTGTCTGTAACTCACACTAACATGTTCCAATCTGGCTATCATGCTAGCAATTAGCAGATAGCCACAGTTGTAGAATCGAATATTTTAAAAGACGTGTGGATGATTTTTGCAGTGAAACTCTCTGGTGTGAACAAGCAATTAGTTCAAAGTTCTAATGAACTAAATATACAGCCACAAATTGTGTACAATTGTGAGTTTTCTTTTGAGTGGTGTGTTTTGTATGCACTCTAATTATAAAAGAATCGTGAGGTTTTGTGCTTTCAAAAAATGCACAGTTTGTCAAGGTTAAGTGTAGATTTAGGGGTTAAAATTAATATAATGTTCTTTTAACACCTCACACACATATCTCACACCTCACTATTTGGCCACAGTAACCTGTGAGGTAAATTACACCCATCTAGAGTCATTTTCTAATACAGGATCTGCATTTTACTCCACTTTACTCAGACCTCTTGAAATCTACACACTTCACATCTCTTTTTTTTTTTGTTTAATTCATGTTCACCCATTTCTATAACTGCCCTACACTCTTCCGCATTACTACTGCACTGTCCTTTACCTCTCCTTACCGCACACTGAAGTCCACAGAGTGCACCCACATAAGTGCGCTTATCTCACTATCAGCTGCCACACACACATACGCCGCACTTCACTCAGGAGGAAAATATGCCCGCTCCACTCCTCTCCTCTCCTTTCTCCATTTGTCTGACTCACTCCATCCATCGACTCACACCGTCTAGAGGAAGACAGAGGGAGAGTATTTACAGGCTTTGGTCTTTGCATGAGAAAGCAATTTCTAATAGAGGTCAACCCTGTGTGTGTGTATGTGTGTTTGTGTATGCCTGGGGTTGTTCGTATGTCTGTGTATAGCTGTATGCATTGGACTGTGTGTGGTTATGTGTGAGAGTGTGTTTTTGTGGAGGAGACAGCAGCAGAGCCCAAGGGCCAGCTCTGGTTTAGCTGACACCTTTATGACCTGGGAGTGACAGGGCCGTCATTACATCAAACTCCCACCACAAACACACACACACACACACAAACACACACACCAGCTGTTCCCTCTACCACTCCTCTCATCCCTCCATCCCTCTGCCACTCCTTTGCCAAAGGTCACTTTCAGCTTCACTACCTCCCCTCTTTTCATCTTTCTTTTACATCTATTTATCAACTTTCTTCTGCCTTTTGATCTTTTTAATACCCCTTTCTCCTCTCTGTATCAAACCTCCTGCTCGCCTCCTTTGAGTAATTTAACTTTCCGGCACCTGAAGTTACAGTTTTCATATTGATGTGTTAACAGGTGCAGCTGGAAAAACCAAAGCTAAACAAATGGCCATCCCCTGAGTGTGCTCACTTAAGATGGAGTCAAAACTATCCAAGTAGACTGAATGTGGTTGTTTTCTTTGATTTCTCAGGCTCATAAATGATTGAAACTGTTTTCAGAAATCAAATAAACACAAACAGAATCAGAAACAGAACTATTAAGCGTGTAATTAAGAAATTCTTTTTGTGCATGTTTGAGTTCATGTGGTTTGCAAGTTATAGCAGAGTGAATAAATGTTTTCTCTGGTTTATATAAATCCAGATTGCCTGTTTGTATATCTGCAGCTAAGTTTCAACTTTTAGCTGTTTTGTTAAATGTAAGACTCTTTTTGATCTGCTTTCCAATAAATGGTTGCTAATTCTTTTCATATCCACATCAGTCATCATTGTACTGAATTCCTCAGTACCTTTGACTATATGCTGCTAGCCTGCTTATTTAGATTATAATGTTCAAGCTTATTTCTGTTTAACTGATTGCTGCGCGTTAAGGTCATGTTTGACATGTTAATTTGTACTGTTTTATTAGGCTAAATGTGCACTAAGTCTGCATTTTAAAAAAACTAAAGATGCACTAATTCTGTTTTTATATGAACAATGTGCCAAATGTGTGTCATTTGAATGTATAATGTGAAAGGGCTCGAAGTGAAGTGAACCCACAGAGAATTATCAACAGGCCCTGCAATTCCCCTCAGCTCTACTAAGCGTTTTAGCATCTCTAAGCTGTTTTTGTTTGGGTTTTAAGGCCTGCAACTTTAATGTTTTGGTTCACTCCCACTGTTCTCATTAATAACTTTCAGGGTAAAAGCCACTGTGCCCTACATGACCAGCACCAAACGATAAAGTTAGCGACTAGCTTGTGAACATAGTGGAGCATTTAGCAGCTAAAGAGCCTGATATTTCCCTCAAGAAATAGTGGCCAAAAAGCAAAGCTAAAAGAAGAATATGAATGAATATTGGTCTTGGTGGCCAGAAACATGACTCCAGAAAAAAGCTAATGTTGCTCTGTTTTGGCTGGATGCATAATGTTTACTAACACATTCCCAATATCAACTTAATAAGGTCATAAAATGTCAATGTTTCTTGTATAATTGTGACTAATAATTGTAATTAAGCTGTAGGACAATTTTGAGGCAGCTGCTTTTCCCTCTCAGGTGTTAAAATTCAGCCCTTTAATGAGATTCCTGCTCTGAAACAGCATCTAGTCTGTAGCTGATAAAGTTGGCATCTATAAAGACCGCCATAAATTGTCTTTGTTCTGCACGCGTGCATTGTTGTGACTTGGCTGCTAAAAGCCTCAGTAGTGATTTTATGTATGATACGTCCACATTACACCAAAGAAGCTTGCACATCAAAGAAAATCCAATTTTGCCAATTGGGGGATTTAGCCATGAACACAAAGGGTCAGAGACAAACACAGACAGTCAATCATAATACATTCCAGCCATGGTACGTTTTATATAAGAAGAGCCGCATATTGTAGCTTTAAGAATCAGGATCAATATGTAGCAAAGCAGTCTTGATTTAGTTGTAGCTGTGACTGTGTTTGTAAAGGATCATGTCCAAGTAACCCTGACTCTGTGTGTTCATGTGTGTCTCAGGCTGCATGTGTGCCGGTAATGCTGAGTAACGGCTGGGAGCTGCCTTTCTCCGAGATCATTGACTGGAACACAGCCGCAGTCATTGGCGACGAGAGGCTCCTGCTGCAGGTAACGGCCCAAAGACAGCACTCGCACAAAACCACATGCTCTGTATATCACCTGAAACTGTACCAGACAGAGAAACGGCATCAGTCCCACACTTCAAAGAAAACCTTTTTCTGACTGTCGATTTCTCGAGCTCATGTTATCCAAGATCATGTTTTTGATTTGTTTTCTAGTGGAGTGGTTGTCAGCTAAACAAAATTCAAGCAGCACACCGAGTCCTTGACTGCTTGAAAATGTCACTCAAAGCCTCACATTGTTATATGAGAGGGCAAATAAATAGAATGAGCAAATGGATTTGGCTGGAATTGCTTGAACTTCATGGGGGGAAAAAGTAATTATATGCCCATTAAATCTTAATTTGAATGAAGTGTGTAATAATATTGTTTGACATTGAGTTTTATAACGTCGTAGCTCCATCTGAGCTCACTCTGTGCAGCACCAGTGTGCCTGAGCCATCCTGCATCTATCTGTGGATTTATGTTTTAGAGCAGTATGATGGGCCGGGAATGTATGTATATTCACAAAATGTACGATACCTGTACAGTACATTAGAATTAATTACTTTCTATTTAGACCAAGAAAAATATTTAGATAATTCTGCACATAAAGTATTTACTTCTTCAATGAAAAATGTTCTCAGCAGGAAATGGACATACATACATTCCCTTTTTATTATGACAAATAAACTTCGCAACAGCATTAAACTACACAGATATTCAAATAAAAGTAAAAAAGCATTCCCCAAATGACTGCTGCAGCATTTTAGCCTTTCTTCCCTAATACAATTTGATGATAACTTTTTGTTAAATTTGTTTTGTTGTGTGCTTAATTTCCTTGAATGTAATAAAAAATTTTGTCACATGTTAATGCTCCATTTTTCCTCTAGGATTCTACCTTTTCAAAATAGCATCCTTTGCCCCTTTATACTTAAGAGTTTGGTAGACTTTGCAAACAAGACTGCTACCTGAGCTGTAGACTTTGAAATGAGTAGACGAATACCATGCCCCTTAAACATAAGGATACAGCCAGTTAGCTTAGCACAAAGACTGTAAACAAGGGGAAACAACTAGCCTGGCACTGTCCAAAGGTAACAAAATCTGCCTATTAGTATCTCCAAAGCTTACTAATTACCATGTAATATCTTGTTTGTTTAGTATGTACAAAAAAACAAGTGTAAAAACGAAAATACAGTGATTTTAAAATGTTTAATTGTTTTTACACTTGTGTCTTCAGTATTTTTGCTAAGCTAACTGCTGCAGGCGGAGCTTCAAATTTGCCATACAGACATGAAAGTGGTATTGAGCCTGTCATCTAACTGCTGGAAAGAAAGCCAATAAGCATATTTCCTGCAAACTGTTCCTCAAGTCACAAAAATGAGAACTTGATACTTGAATATGGATTGAATGTTGTGAGACTGGACTTACATGACCTGAGACGTGAAAAGCAGGTTAATTTCTTGACCTCAGAAACAGCAGCTTGACAAAAACATTCTCAACACAAGGTACTATATACTTGTCATTTCCAAAGTTTTAAACTATATCTTGTGGCCCTCCTCAACAGATGGAGTCTTGGAGATAGTTTAGTTGTAACCACGTGACTCAAGTGTGGAATTTTGGTAACATGGTAACAGGTATAGGTCACAAATGGGAGTGAGATCACAACCAGGAAACTCCACTGATGAAGGTCACAGTTCAGTTGGACCTTATGATATTTGTTTGTCGTTTGACCTGCTAAAATCCTGTAAAAAATGAATAGATAAATAAATAAGACAGCAACAGGCAGGCCTTAAATGGAAACACACCTTTAAGATGAAAGTGTTATGCCAGCCATGTAAACTACAGCTCTTCAGTAACACTGCTGTAAGCAAAATGTTCAAAAGCCATGTCATTTTAATAGACGGCATTCAAAGACCTGAAAGACTTGCAACTGACTTGCAGTTTATTTATAAAAACTTGTGACTCCACTTGAACTATCCCTCAAGGACTTAGGACTTGTCTCGAGAATTGCTTTGAGGACACTTGTTACTTGGTAATGGCCTAAATTACATAAAAATAATATTTAATGTGCTTTTGATGGGAATTTCCTGAGTGTATCTCTGGGACCAAGTTGAGTCTCCCTGTCCCAGATCAGTACTGACTGACTATTTGGCTATTTGTCGTTTGCAGATTCCGACCACCGTGCGCTCCATCCACCAGGATAAGATCTTGTCCCTCAGACAGCAAACTCAGTTTCTCTGGGAGGCGTACTTCTCCTCTGTGGAAAAGATAGTGCTGACCACACTGGAGGTGAGGATTCAAGACACACATAAACACAACCTCCCGCCTCCTTTTTGGCCTTTCTGCCTTCCTCTCTTCCTCGCTCCTTCATGACGTATATTTTTCAGGGTGTTTTCATAAAGTTTCTCAGGTCTTTAAAGCTGCAGTAGGTAACTTTTATAAAAAAAACATTTTGGTACAAAAAGCTAAAAAAACATTTGAAATATGGCTAAAGTATCGATGAAACAAAGCTCTTCCAAATAGCCACACTCAAAAGCAAGGCATAAAGCCAACAGTGCATATTCAGACAGATTAAAGGTGTTACACTCATTCGTACACACAAGAAGAGGCAGAAGTTGTTGTTGTTGAGAGAAGTTGAAACCCCGCATACTTTCTCAGCTCCACTCTCCTGGCCAATCACTGTAAAAGTGGGCAGGCTTATTAGATTGTAGGTTTCAAATGGTCACACAAACCACCAATTTTGATGTCAGAAGGGTGTGGAGGCAGAGCACCATAAACTTCCATCCCAGTTTTCATGCATGTAAATTTGAATAGGAACTCAGACCATTGCTGAGCTGGAGGCAGGTTCGTTAGGGTAGTGAGTCCGACCGAAGGAGGAGCAGGAGGCAAACATGAGCAAACCAATGCCAAAGCCTGCCTGCAAGCTTGACAGGGTCACGCATGAGGATTAGGATGGAAGCAGTATATTTAGCCAGTTTTAGGCAAAAGTATTAGTGTTTTGAGAAGTTTGCTTTGATACTTTGTCCCCACCATGAAAACTAGTCACTGTTGGAATCCATCCAGTCCATGCCAAACACAGCTGCTGTTCTTAGACAAACCTACAAACTACAAAAAAAGTTTTTTATTTTCAAAAGATACGTTTAGGCGGAGTATCATTTTAAGTTCCCAAAAGAATTCTCTGACCTCTTCTTGTCATGCGCATCTACTTTTGTTAACAACAATTCAGTTTAGAAATTATTGTCACTGGAGAAACAATTTATCCATCCAATCCCCATCCCTCATTATTCAGTTTAAACAAGTTGTTTATAGATGCAGGGATAACACCTGGGCTTACTGCTGGCTTCATGCTAGGGTTACAAATGTTTTCTTCTTCCTGCCTCTTTTCTCACCCAAGTATCCCATCACGCATTTCATTTTCTCTCTTACTGCGTCGCTAAAGCCCCCAATGCTACAATCTGACTTAAAGTATAATCTCCAAGATCTTACGTCTGAGTTTGACTTTTATACACATGCACGCGCTCACACACACACACAAGCGCCTGCACACTCTGAAAACACACAGCACATGTCATGTGGGGTGGCTTCAGTATATAAAATCTGATTTTAGCTAGCTCTACATCTCTGGCCTGTTGGTTATCTGGCCCTGTCTTACTGTGTGCCACCACACACACACACACACACACACACACACACACACACACATCTCCATATGTCAAGGTGTGTCAGCCCAGATACACATAGCACCACCCAGGCATAACCTCGCTGACATGTTGTCACTCCGCACTAAAGAGCAAGGTGACACGGCGAAAGCCTGTGATTCGGTGTGTGCATGCGGTTCGTCAGTGTACTTTGTGTGTGGGTTCGCGTTGAATACAGCAGGGCTAAACGCTTAATCCTGACTGACTGTCCTGTAAAAAGAGTGAGGGGAGGGGAGGGCAGTGGGAGAAAGGGTGAAGAGGAGAAGGGGTGACATATGTAAATGGCGTTGCCGTGGCAGCCCCCGAGATAACGAGCGACATGGTTTATTCATCCTGTCGAGCCTGCACCCTTCCTCCTCCTCCTCCTCCTCCTCCTTGCTGCAGATCTGTGATGATACAAGCATGCACTCAAAACACGCACACACTCCGATATCTTGACAAGTTGAATCTCCTCACGCAAATTCTCAAACACGCTTGCTTTTTATTGACTTCCCACTTCCACTCCAAACTCTGTGTGTGTGTGTGGAGACGGCGAGCGAGCAGGAAAACACAAGTTCAACCTATCATGCCGCGTTTCCTGTCAGGAAGCAGACACGTTTCGACCAATCACAAGGTCAATATAGCCGGGCGCGTGCTGCTGGTACACCTATTAAACTCACCTATTAAAGGCGAGTACACAGTGTGCTCCCAGAGAAGCAGGATTTATCTATCATGCTCTAATTGGTTGATTGTGGCTGTTCTGGGGTGAGATTGAGTCGTCCATCATGTCCCGACTGAGGACTGCCGACGGGGGAGGAGCTCCAGCCATGCGAGCAAAATTGCCCCCTCCATAAGGTATAAGGGCTTGGGGGTTTTAAGGTGGCAGGCAGTGTTTTTATAGAGAAGTTAACGGATTCTGAGTTAATCTGTTCGGCTGAGGCAAATGGTTATCGACTGCCCTCAGGGACAAGGCTGGGGAAAGTAAAAAAATCTCACAGTGCTGTTTTGTTTTTTTTCCCCTTTCTTCCCCGCCTCCCTATGATGAATTTTTATGTTGCTTTGTCAATATTATTACAGTAAGCCCCCTCCAGCTATGCCATTAACTTTTTTTTTTAAAACAATTCGAACAGTTGCTCAGTTCAGCTGCTCAGCCCACCTGACTGCCTTTGCCTCTTTCTATATGTCTGTCCTTTGAGTTACCAAGCCAGCAGCCGTCACACTCCGATTCAATAGCGGCCATAAAACACGGCCGCTAACCTATGTCTGTTTTACTGAAGCAATTTAGCATGGCTCAAGGGTACAGCAGCAATATCTCTTTCCTCCTGCCTGCGTGTTCAGAGGCCCAGCGGCGAGCTGCGGCTGAGGAAAACAGTGCTCATTCTCACACCTGACCGTTTGACTGACTGCTCTATTTGGGCACAGAAAGGGTTGGCACAGGCCTGACAGACTGGTGCTTAGATACAGCTGATGACTTTGTCTGTCCCGATGGCCTCTGTCTGTGTGACTGACCGGCGCAAATGCCTTTGACTTGCTGATCTGTTAGCAAAAAAGGCCTCAGTTTGGTTTGTCTGCGCAGCAAATATATTACACAATAACATAGATTTCTTTCAGCTCAGCTTTGTGCCACAGCGATTCACTCTTGACACAATCAATAGCTGGGATTGAGGTGATACAAAGCAAAACATTTCAAAAGCTCAGCCAGCTTCTAACTTTTATCTAACGCCTACAGAGTCACTTTTATAACAGTTTTTTTTCTCAGCTGCTCTAATTCACTCACTGGGTTTTGAATAATACTCTGAATATCATTCTGAATTCAAATGGGGATATTGGAAGTTGGAACATTAGCAGTGTTGATATTCATTCACATTTATGACTATCTGCTTCTTGGCAGCGTTTTTTTGTGTGTGAAAACTCATTTCGCTGGGTGAAATGTTTTATAGGTGTGATTACAAGGCTCATTGATCAAATCCTTAATATTTCATCCACCATAATCTGAAAGGCAAACGTTTGTTCCTTTATCAAAACACAAAAATTTCAATTTCATTTTTTTATGAGTCGCCTGTGATCTGAGTGAAATGTTATTTAACGAGATTTTTTGTCTTGTTTGAATTGCAAAAGGAAGCCTTACAAATGTCAGAGACCCTGCTGTAATTAAAATGACACAAGTTTAATACTGGCAACAGTCAGTTAATGGCTTTGTGGCTGTCAAAGCAACACAGTTTGTCAGCAGCTGTAACTTTTTCTTGTTAGATTAGAAGTGATTAGCAATTATTCTAGATGTCTTGTGCATCATCTTACTTGCATTTCTTTGTGATTCAGCATTTATGCAGCATTTGGTACTTTGGGAACCTTTCTTTCAATAAAGCTTCTAAACTAAAAGAAATTTATTTGAAATGAAGCTCTGTGGATTTGAATAGTGATTGTCCACACAAGAAGAGTGTGTAATGGGAAGGGTCTAACTGAAAGACATTATTGGTAAGTATTATGGAAAGTATAGGTTTCAATTCTTTCAGGAGTTGACCCATATTAGAGACTAAAGCCACATTCATACTTTCTGCGTGTCCATGAAGGGCCGCTTTGGTCTGTGTTACCTCCATGTCGTCATCAAAATTCTGATGCACCAATGTACTGTACGCCCCATCTCTGGTCTTATTCTTGCAAAGCAGTTGCACATTATATTATATACCACATCAATCTGGCCACACGTGTATTTCACAAACCATGTCACCACCCAGCCTTAAAAGTCATTGCTTTCAAGGCTCTACTGCTGTTGTTGATCATTCTTTGTTATTTTCCTCCAACTTTAGAGATATTATAATATATATATATATATTAATGTAGCGTTATTTGCTGCACTGACAGTTTGTTTGTTAGCGAAGTCTAGTTTATTTATGCTGTCTAAAATCAAAAATTTGTCTCAAGATTTTACAATCTGTAGTACATACGACACACCCCTTAGCTCCTTGGTTCAGAAAAGGTCAAACTCCTCACAAAAATGAAAGAGAGCTCTTTGAGGACAGACATACAAGAATAGGGGCTGTATGTACAGACTAGACAGAGGTAGCAGTAGTAGAATTACAACAACAAAGAAACAAAGTTACAGTTTTACCAGCCAGAAGGTATACTTTCATATGTCCTATAATTTGTTGTCCATTTTATCATCATAATAATTTAGCAAACATAATTATTCACAGTCAACAAGTTAACATCCTTTTTTTTTTTAAGGAAAAACTGGTTAACATGCAACATGTAAGGGTGACACATCCTTGATACCTAAATCAAATTAAATAAGTAGTTTATTTGTAGTCTAATGTGTGTTCCTTACTGTTTCCATTTGCAGATCATCCAGGACCGTGTGTTGGAGCACGGCTCCAGGAGCAGCCTTATGTGGAACAGTCACCCCGGGGGACTCTTCACCCTGCCGCAGTACTCTGGATACCTGGGAGACTTCCCTTTCTACTACGCCACACTGGGTCAGTAACAGACACACATATAAACACAAACACAGAAGCAGATGCATCATAAACTGTACAAAGTGCTGTTACATAACAGCAATCATGCTTTCACTGTACACACCAGCGTAGCAATGAACTGAGTCGTAAAGGTTGATCAGGAAGGTTTTTCACCATCCGTCACTTCAGCATCAGATATTTTGTCACATTTTTTGTACAAGAAAAGACTTCCCATTTTGGTCAAGCTGTGGATTTGCACCTTGTCTGAGCAGGAGAAACATGGCCTTCAGTAATGATCTACTGCCCTCTAGACTGAGCAGCAAGTGGAGTGGAGGAATAGGCCTTTGACTGATGTTTGTATTAGTCCTGCTGACACACCAGCTCGTCCATCATTGGTTGTTTGAGTCAGCATTGCTACTGCTACTTCTGCTGCTGCCTCTGCTGCTGCAGTGAGGCCAATTGCTCCCGCTACGGTTCAGCAGCGGCGAGTTTTCCCCCGCCACGTATCTGTGACCCGGGAGCCTCTCCATCCTTCACTTCTTCACTCCATCATCATCCAGTGCTGCCAAAAACATCCGAACGCACACACTTATACATGCGCAGACGGCACAGATTCAGTTGATGGAGCACCGGGGGTGAAGAGCTGATATTAAAATGGATGAACACGGTGAGAGGCAGGGATTACAGCGCTGGCAAGTTTATTTGTTTGTCAAAGAGGAAGCAATTAAAACATGGGTGGGTGTTTGGGAGACAAGGTGGCTTGTCGCTGATGGGTAAAAGAATAAAATCAAAGAAGGAGAGTTTGTTTCCAAGTGGCACTTCTTGTTCTCCAAGAGCCAATAACAAGACACACACACTTGTTTTTGTCGCTTTGGTGCAATGGACGTTTCATTTAGGGTCCAAAATATACTAGATTCTTGAGGCTCGTAACAATATGTATACTTGGGAATAATAAAAATCCAATAACAACATGACATGAATCATAACATGAATGGTCAAAAATATATTTTACAGTTAAACAATGCAACTAGATAATCAAAAATAATAATAACAGTACATCCAAGATAACATCAGGGTAATTTAGATTATATAACTATAAATTAAAACATAAAACAAAACTGTATTAAACTTGAAAGGACAAAAATGTAAGTTGGTGCCAATAAAACATTTATCACCAGAGTTTACTGCTTTGCAATGTCTTACTGCGTATCTGCCAAGACACTCTACTGATGCACACTCCGTGGCCTAAAGTATGTGGATGTTACCTTGGGCATTAACATGCGGCTATAACAGTATTCACTCTTCTGGGAAGTCTGTTATAGCAGCATAACAGGCTGCAGGGATTTGCTACAACTCAGGCACAAGGGCACGAGTTAGGTCGGCCACTGATGTTGGGTGATGAGGCCTGGGTATCATCCCCCGGAACCAAGAAAAACAAAGCCAGACATACACACATATGTAAACAGGCATTTCCACATATTTAGTGTATTTATTTGTGTGTAGTTAAAGGCCTCAAATAGCTGAATCAATCATAAACCAGCCGTTTGTGTTGCTATAAACATTTAGCTTGTGAAATGTGTAATGTGCTCATACAGGATGTGATAAAAGCCACTCAGAATCATGTGCTAAAGGCAGAAAACAGCATGCACATCCAACATTTAAAATCCACTGCATGACACTAATTCTGCTCCAGGTTTTGTTCAATGTTTCATGAAAGTCTGTTTATGAGCTAGTTACAAATTTACATCCCAACTGTTTGAAAAGTCTGCACACCCTCAACTTTTTCATTACAAATCCCAAGAATAGTTTACCAAGTTTTAAGACTGCGTATATTCCTCATCATAAAAGTTGCACAGTGGCGGAAAGGAGACTCCTCTAATGCTATCTCCTCTGTGCCATGCTTTGTTGGTTTGGGTTAGATTAGATTTAAATTAGGAAAAGTTGAACGTCCTCTATGATCCGTCTTGCTCAATATCTTATTTCCTGCTCATTTTCAGCCTCAATTACTCTATTCCAACATCACGCCAGGCTGAATTTAAAGTCACATCAGCACTTCGCTGTCTGTTCATTGGGTTCCAGATACAGCTGAAGCGTTTCCAAAATGAAATATTCAGTGATCAAGGGATTTTGCATTTTCAAAACACATTAACGTTGTTGAATATTTTAAGAACAATTAAATCATCTATATTTTTGAACCACTGTTAGACTTGTTTCATGTAGTATCTTTTAACTGAAAAAGGGTTTGAAAATGAGAGCATTCAGTTCTCGTCTGACTTCATTTTCTTCAAAGAGCCTGAAATTACATTGATGGCTGACATTCAGCTCACCGTGTTCCAGGCAGCATTGTTTTTCTGGATTTATAAAACTGCATTAATGACAGTCTATCTGTTGTGTTTCAGGTATTAAACCGTACCCCAAGTTCACAGCGGTCATCCATGCCGTCTCCCCACTGGTGTCCCAGTCGCAGCCCATACTCAAGCTCCTGGTAGCTGTGGCCAAGTCCCAGTACTGTGCACAGGTAAATGGTGTTATTTGGGTGTGTGTGTGTGTGTGTGTGTGTGTGTGTGTGTGTGTGTTTTCACTGCTGAATCCCCCGAATCGCCCATGAATCTCCACCTTGTGACTTCCCAAATTGTGCCGCATTATGTGGATCATATGGCTGCTTTGCGAATGCATTTTCCAAACAACAGTGCTCATCCTCCACCCCTGTGTGTGTGTGTGTGTTTGTTAACTCCAATGGATTGGATTAGAGCAGCAGTTTGTAGCGGAGCTACATCTGTCTCCATGGCAGCAAAATCCCCTTCAGCACAGCTGGAGACGGCATGTATTGATTCCCCTGCTTGCTCCTTACCAGCACGGGAAATGAAATGGAATTTGCTCCCCAATGGTTTTTGTGAGTGTGTGTATGTGTGTCTTTGTTTGTTTGTTTGGCCAGCAGAGTCTATGAGTAAGCGAGTTTGTATTTTGTGTAGGAGGCATGTGTTTCCATGCGAGTGCCGTGCATGAATGTGCAGCTCTGTGGTTGTGTGTTATGAGTGTTTTTGCAGTGGAATATACAATATGAATGTGTGTTTACGTAGGCGGGATGCTTGTAAATGTGTGTATTTCATGTGTGCGTACCGTCCATTTGCGCTGATAACATGTTGACTCTCTGCATATCTCTGTGTAGGACAGAGAGTTGTTCGAAATGTTTTGATATATGTGCCAATATGATACCTTGGTTCCAGTCCTGATACTAAAACACTAATTATTTTGAGGAACATAAAAATATTGTTTTACAGAAGCAAGTAGTAGAAGGCAGATTTCTCAAATGTTAAAGGGTTACCGGATCCTACACTTCCAAAAATGCAACTTAGTACCATCTTTACATTATACCTTTCCTGTCTGGTTCATATGCACGTCTTTCTCTACGCTTTTAGTTTGTAACTTTCTGTCTTAAATTTGCAGTCTCTTCACCCAAGCTGATGACATCATTATGATGCAGTCTGTTTTTTTGTGCCAAGCACAAGTAGCTTTTTAAAAATGTTGCCTAAACAAAGTGCACTGTAAATTGGAATGCTGAAAAGTTATTCTTGACAAATATGGTGAAGTGGACAAAAGCTCCAGGAAAGTGAATAAGTGAGCCTTAAGCAGAGATTGTTTAGCTAACTGCTCTTTCAGTGTCTGCTCAAGTTTTACACCAACATGGACGGGAGAACATCTACAATTTTGTGGCAACTGAGCAAACATCATCATCCGCTGAGAAAGACTGTGTGATACTGTCAAAAGCTGTAGAATAAGCGAGCAAGTGGCCCTTGAGTGGAGAGTGGCAAAATTAAATGCGTCATTTAAATTCACAATTGTCTGATCAAAAAATAAAAATAAGTAGAGCACAGTTCTGAGAAAGGTATCGATTCCAACTGTTTGCTTTGTGCTGCAGACACATTTCAGACGATACCAAAAAACGCATCAAGGGTCGATATCCAGCTCCACATTTGTGTTGTAAAACCCACATTTTTATGGAGGTGCTTTTGTGTTCGCGTTCTTTGAGCTGTGCATGCATGAGTGGAGAGCCAGGTACACAGCCGGGGTGTTTTTCTTCCACTCTCAGCATACAGAAGGGGGGTGTGGGGGGGAGTTGCTGCTGGGATACGAGAGGATGAGGAAAGGGATATAAATAAATGAATGGGAGGGAGAGAATGAAAGGACTTAGAGGATGGAGGAGGCTAAATTGGACACAAGAAAGCTTCTTGGCTTTTGACACAGTGGACTCCTGCTACGTGTTAATGTGTGCATGAAGCGTTTCTTCCACTCGTGCTACAGATAGACCAACTGTTTTTTCACCATTTCCCTCCAGTCAGATACACACACACAAAGGCATACATACACAATGCCTCCGTCAGCACCCTGCGAGGGCTGGTGAGCTGACAGAGGCACCATCTGTCTGTCTAATCAAACAGGAATAGAGCCCTTTAAGAGTGGATCAACGCCTTTCTCAGCTCTGTGTGTGCACAGTACCTGTTGTTATCTTACAATGACACTTTCTTGCCCAGATTCAGACTCATGAATGAGACTTGTTTTGTGTTTGTTTTTGTCTGTATTGGCTTATAATGATGAGATAATTTTGCCATTCATCAAACAGCTGTGTGACATCTATTTCTTTTTTCATTCCATTATCACACAGCTGCAGTAGTCACAAGGCAGCACCTTAACACAGACATCCAAATGGCTCCCAGCTCATAATTTGGCAGGTCCAGTCAGGGCGCATGCAGAGCCCCCGAAGGGAACCGCTACTGCGTGTGATGGAGTTAATGTCAGAATAATGTGAAACTTTATTGATCCCTGCAGGGAAATTCTTGTGGTTCGCCTCCATCAGGGACGTCTGAGCACAGTGTCAGCTACAGCTCCGCACAGTGGAACTGGGATGGATTAATTTACTCACTTGTTCAAGGACATTTATGCAGGACGTGTTACCTGGTGCACAGCAACTTAACACTACTTGACGAGATGTTGATGATGACCCTTTTGCTTTCCTTCTCACTAACTGGGTATTCATTCCCCACAAATTCAGGCAAACCGGTTTCTAGGGATATAAATATGTTATGTTGGTTGCTTTGCACTCTGCTTTGCCTTTGTCTTAATAATTTATTAACCTCTATTTTACCTAATCTGTATAGTATATAATAAACTAGAATAATGTACAATTAAAGATTCTCTGTTGGAGTGTTTAGTATATTTTTTTCTGAAAAAATAACAAATTGAAGTTTGATGAAAATGCCAGCATGCATGCTAAAATTGATCAATGTTTGAATGTGGTTTTGATGGACTTAATTGTCCCACAATGCTGTGCACTACGGAAATGAAGGAGCTCGAAGTGAAAGCATGGCAGATGGTGATGCTACAGCTCCAGGCAAAACTCAGAACAGCAAACTAATAAATCTTTAACGCATTTTTACCAGCTATTTGTAAAGTTTTAAAATGTGAAAATGGGTGGAGTGGGGGTTTCCATTTAATTTACAATCCATCTTTGCATTGTGAACTGATACTGAGCATGTTGTGCTGCACAGTTACTGCACAAATAGAAGTGTGTCTACGTTAGCAAAAATGTGTATATGTGTTCCCATCATAGACGCATACCCCTATATAAAGATAATTGACAGTTAGCTAAACCCTGCCCCCCTTAGTTATTGTTGCTATACGTATCAAGATTTCCTTTCTAGAACTACACATATGTAGTTTATAATGACAACCAAGGTAGATTAACCACTCAAAGTCTTCAGTCATATTTTAAACAATAACACTTTTGATTTCAGACAGAGGCAGACAAAAGCAGCCTTCTCATTTGTAGCCGACAACCGTCAATTTTGTCGGCTGAAATGACAACTCTCGCTGTCAGACTTATTACCTTATTAGCTGTTCTTTTAATGTTTCCATCTGACTCATTTTCAAAGAAGAACCTTGTAAAAGGGTCTTCCACTTGACTACATCGATATTGTGCTAAAAGACTGAGGCTAAACCTGAAGCCGACATCCTCACCTGTTTATGTTCTATGTACAGAAAGAAAACTACATTGCTCTTGCATTGCAGTTAGACTTAGTATAAGTATGATACGGAAAGACAGATCAGACTGTTATTTCTTTGCTTAGCTTTTATACTTACAGTATTATTTCACAAGTGAAAAGGCTTTTCTGATGCAAGATATAAATACTATTTATATATCTGCAGTAAAGGAGACTGCATTTTCAGGATCCACAGTCTTAAGACTGCATTTGTAGGACCCTAGTTTTTTGCGACAGCGCCACCTAGTGAATTAGTGAGGGTCATGTGCAGCAACAAAAGGAGGTTAAACCTAATTTCTTGCTAGCACATCGGCCATGAGGCCGTGACATGCATCAGACATGCATACAATCACTAACTTACAACATACAAACACCAAGAACTGAAATCAACTCAAGCATCTTTATTCAACTCTCCTTTTCCATGTTTACAATCGTGGGGAGGGATGACAGTCGTTAACGGTAACAACAAATTTTTAATTAGGGTTATTTGTTGCATTTGAAACAATACATTTTACATCAATCATCAAAGTTAGGATATTAACAAATATTTCAGACAATGCGGTCGAGTCCAAGACGAGACTAAGACCATCAAATAGTGGACTTAAGACCGGTGTCTCGAGACCAAGACCGGCCTTGAGTGCTACAACACTACTACTGCCCCATGTACAAGCTTCAACATGTGGACAAATCCAAACTTCACATTAATCATTTTGTGTCCCACATCAAATTTAAGATGCATCAGAAGAACAGGCTGAGATAGAAGACTGTAACTGTGTAAATGTGTATAAGGGCAGGCAGGAGTCATGTTAATGTATGTGTTCCTCATCAAACAATTGAGGTCCATCACCGAAGTCGCAGCTAATGGGGAAGGTTAACTCCTTGTGACATTTCCATGTCGGCTAGTCTGCAACTCGCGGAACAGCAGACCAAGTCGTATAAAACATGATGTAACTGTGGTTGGAGAACATGAGTCCTTCATGTAAAGCATCATCTGATTGGAGGGTGGAGCGTGAAAATGTGTTCAGCGGCATGTCGTAGTTAGAAATGAAACCTGACAAGGTGACGTGATTGGTTATGGACTGAATTGTACAAACCACTCTGGAACCATAATTGGTAAAAATGTATCACTTCAGTTGCCCTTCTAGCTCTTTAAAATTCAATCAGCCTGTAATAAGGTGACATTTGCTGGCCGCAGGTCACGTAAATGTCAAATGTTCAGCAGGTTGATTCAGCAACAAGCTGGGGAGTGTGCTGCCAGTTGTTTTGGTTAGAGGAAATCAAATTCGATGTAGTTATTTGGTTCAGATAATAAAACCTTTCTTCTTTATTTTAGATCATTGTCCTGTGGAACTGTGACAAGCCTCTCCCTGCGAAGCACCGCTGGCCGGCCACCTCAGTGCCCGTCATCGTCATTGAGGGAGAGAATAAGGTGAGCCTGAACACACACACACTCCTCCTCTCACTTACCTTAAAGGTGTGATCGCTATCATTTGTAATTACGCAGCTCATCTTATGCATAACCTCAAAGTGTAAAACTACTGTATCTTGGCACATTTTATTCAGTCTGAAAGTTTCTTTAATGAGTTTCGATTTGTGATGCAGTGATTCCCTTAAAGGACAGTTTGTGTGGTTTTAATTAAAGCACAGTAATGGGAATAATATACATTGAGGGGGAAAAGTGTGGCTGAGAGGCTAATGCATATTGTTAGGAAAGATAAGGAGGCAATGAAGTGCATATGCATAGTAGCATTTATTTATTTGTAATGTATTTACTGCTGTTTATTCTTGACTTTAATCGCAACTAAATATCTAATCAACTGAAGAAAGTCACAAAATCTCTCTGGAGAAATAAGTTACAGTTACAGCGACAATATACACAATAAACGCATGCCCAGAAAACAAGCTCCAGCATTGATTTAATAATGTTTAAGGTTTGTTTTGTCTTAAATAACTCATGATCTTCTCATCTATGCTGCCATTTGAAACTCATAATTACAAAATCTGTATTAAATCTGTGTTTTTTTGGGGCGTAAAGACTAATTTCATTATGTACTGATTCTTTTCTCAATGTATAGTTAAATTTTTTGGTCTACTAAATGAAAAACATTTTGCTCGGTTTATTCAAAAAACAAATATATTCAGTTTACAATCAAATAAAACAGGGAAAAGCAGCACAACCTCACATTTGAGAAATGGAAACCTGAAAAATTTTGCATGTAAGATGAAATAATTAATTAATCCACTTAATAAAAACTGCTTTCAGCTCTAATGCTTTTTCAAAATGAAATCTGTGGGCATCAATTTTCTCAGCATGACAGTGTAGATATATCTTGTTTTTTCCCCCTGTGTTCTGACATACTGACTGACATTTTTTCCCCTATGTTGTTTTTTAACAAGTTAACCCTCTCCAGCCAGACATAACCCAGAGCCCTGAGCATTCCTCAGTGGCATTTATTATGGCAACCTCGTTAGGGTTTTACTGCTGAAGACTCTTCTCTGTTGAAGGGGTCACTGTGTTTATCGTGACCTCTCTGTGACCTCCTTGTCAAAGTCAAAGGTCAGGCGTGTACTCACAGGGTGATATTTACAGATCTGAGCTCAGTGTGACAATTTCCACTCTCACATTTGAGGTTGTTTATTTGAGGAAAAGGTAACAGGATCTGGCCGCTCATCTGTATTCCGAGACATCAGACTCATCCGACGCCTTCCCCTCTCCCCTCCTGCTTGTGAGGACTTAACTTCTCCTGCCAATCAGAGGAAGTGGTTTTCACATCAGTGTCAGTCACCCGGCGGTAGGCTGGGTTTATGGCTTGCCTCTCCCCGTGGCTGTGAGTGGTTTCTCCCAAGCTGTCAATCACAGCAGGAGGGCTGTGTGTGTAGCTGTGTGTAGCTGTGTGTAGCTGTGTGTCCGTGAAAAGCGAGCAGAACAGGCTTAGTGTGCCGCCGTTGTGTGTGTATGTGCCAAGCAGCCTGTGGTTTGTTGTGGTTGTGGCGGGTTCTGTGTTTACCGTGGCGAGCCAAGCTGTGTTCCTCCACCCCACAGAGAGAGAGAGAGAGAGAGAGAGAATGTTTTTCATCTTTTTCGCCTTTTTTCCTGCCATTTTTCTCACTACATCCCCTCTCTCTTTCATCCCCTTCCACACTCACAGATCGTCTCTCTACTCCTCTTCTTCATCATCTCTCTTCCTCATCTTCTTTGCCTCCTCTCTCTGTCACTACGTTGTCCTCTCCTTTCTTCAGGAGCAGAATTTTAGAAATACTGAGGTCATGGGTAAGTTCCCCCAATGCAACCACATCCCCTTCAATTTTAAAATGATTTAGATGTCTTATTTCTTCAGTCAACAGTTATTATTATTTATTTATTGTTATTTATTTCCCGACATGAAAGCCTTAATTCTGATTCAAAGCACTGCCAGCTAACTCCTTTATGTACTAATTTATTTATTGTTGACCTAAAAGAAGTAAAAATTTCAATATATTGAGTCTACAAATACCAGACTTCGCTCACAAAAAACCATCATGTGTAGATTTTTAATTGTATGATGAAAGCTTCCCTACATGTTTCCAAACCCCCACATTCCCTGAAAAGAACACGACCTCAGTGTCTTTAATAGCAGAACTTCCTCACTTATTTCTCTTTTAATTTATACATCTTCCTCACCTCAAATGTCCTTTTTACGTCTCATAGTTTAAAGAATAATGTGTTGTCTTGCAGCAAGAAACATAACTTTTGGGGGAAAATCTGTTTAAAGAGGTCCCCTCAACAACAACAACAACAACAAAAAACAAGCCTTAAAGGAAAATTCAAGTATTTTTCTACCCAGGTGTTGTTCTAATAACTATCTATTTTAACTATGAGTCCTGCTAACTTTACACTTGCTACCTTGGGAATCACAGACTTGGGGGCAAGCAGCATATTCTTCATAAAGTTTTACAATTAAGCTTAAATTTTACATAAAGCATAAATAACACTAGGTCGCAAAAGTGAAAGTTAGCCTGGATTATCCATTGTTGCTAACAGTGTAGGGATCTGTTTCTGGGGAAACTTGGCGGCTAGCCAAACTAGCAATGTATTTCATCCTTTGTGTGTGTGTTGATTTGTGCCTGCAAGTTTTTGATTTGTATTTGAATCAAATGGCAAGACACATAACGTGCGGTCTTCATTGGCTGCCGCTACATTTTTTTTATATACAGTCTATGATAGAAACTGAGAAATTGAGAATAAGACCCAGGTAGAAAAATACCAGAGTTTTCATTCCTTCCATGTTTCTTTTGAGTCACAGTAAAAATTGTGCTACAAATGCACTGTCCACTCCTTTTTGAGGAAAGGTTGCTAAAAACTACAGTGCCCAGCTGTTTAAGGAAATTACTGAGCCTTGTACTGAAACCTGCTTTTAAAGTCTTCAGTAGGAACGAATGAGCTTGGGGCTGAGTGACACAGATATAGTAGCATTGTTAGTTTTGGTCTTTTTGTGGGATCTGTTAACAATAAGAAACACATTGAATAACTTATCCTCCAACATTCCCCTCTTTTCCTCCCTCTGTCATCCTCTCTGTCTCTCTGGCACGGTGGCCAAAAAGCTGGTTTATGACTGTTGATTTAAGCCGTGTGAGAATCCCAGCGGCGCTTAATATGGTTTACACACACTGGTGGTCGTCCTCTCTCCTTTCACTGTCTCTCCGCTCTCTGCTGCTGTCCTTTAGAGAGGAGGTGAAGTGCTGCAGGCAGATTTCTGCTGCAAGAGCTCACATTCCTGGAGAGCACCAGCAAGCCCCAGGCTAATATGTCGCACCTCCAACGTTACAACCCATCTGGGAGTTGGAAACACCAGCCTCTCATTCTCTTTGTCTTTTTCCCGTCTCTTTCCCTTTTTGCTGTTTGTCTCGCTGTCCCTTTCTCCCCCTCCTGTCTGCGTTCTTCTTGTCTCTCCAGCTCTTCTTCACTGGAATTTGTACATGTCCTGCTGCCAAACAAGTGGAGAACATGGAGCAGAGAGATGGCATTGTTTTGTTTCTCTCTTCATGCCTGGAGGAAATTTGCCGCGGTATTGATGACATTAGAAACGGGAGGGGAGGCACCTCCTCTCCTCTCTTCTCCCTCCTTTTCTTCATTTGTAAATACAACTGTCACTTACACTCCTCGGCTCCTCCACCCTGTTAGAATCTGAGCTGCAGTCAAAACTTTCAGCTGCTGTTGTTGCCTCTGGAGAGTTTTCTGAGAGAGAAGAAGTAGATGGCACTCCATGAGACCGCTGACGTCAGCCCTAACTGCTCTATCAAGGCTCAGCTGCGTGAGGTGTTGTTAGCAGGAAACTGGGGGATGTACACAAATTATGCTCTGGATGGAAATCTATGTTTTATTTAAATGTTTTTGCTGCAAAAAACAATGCATCAGCCACTATGAAGAAATATTACATGTACTTAAAACAGTATATCTTTTAAGTTTTAGACATTTTAACTATGTACACTGCTCAAAAAAATAAAGGGAACACTTAAACAACACAATGTAACTCCAAGTCAATCACACTCCTGTGAAATCAAACTCTCCACTTGGGAAGCAACACTGATTGACAATCAATTTCATATGCTGTTGTGTAAATGGAATAGACAACAGGTGGAAATTATAGGCAATTAGCAAGACACCCCCAATAAAAGAGTGGTTCTGCAGGTGGTGACCACAGACCACTTCTCAGTTCCTGTGCTTCCTGGCTGATGTTTTGGTCACTTTTGAATGCTGGCGGTACTTTCACTCTAGTGGTAGCATGAGACGGAGTCTACAACCCACACAAGTGGCTCAGGTAGTGCAGCTCATCCAGGATGGCACATCAGTGCGAGCTGTGGCAAGAAGGTTTGCTGTGTCTGTCAGCGTAGTGTCCAGAGCATGGAGGCGCTACCAGGAAAATTCAGGGAACATGTGTACCACTATGAGTTAAAAAAGAAAATCAACCCTAACAAATCAATGATTCCTCATCCATCCATCCCAGTGTATCAACAGGTCGAAAACAGAATATCATCTCAGTTTGAGCCCTTAAATGCAGTTTTTTTAATTGTTATTATGTTGCCCCTTAATATTTTTAGATATTTAGTCAACTACTATGTAAGGTTAATCTGCTTGTTTTCCCTTTGTTTACATTTGTAAATGATATTGGTCTGAAATATACAGAACATTTTAAAATCCTTTTCAACCCTCAAAAATAATGAGTTACTGTTCGTCTGTCATTGATTGTGCAATAACTTTTTTTTTGCAGATTCTCGTTTTTAAATGTAAAGGTTTGCAGCTTTTTATGTCATTATAAACTTCCCACTAAGCGTTGTCTAATGAACATCTGGTAGACAGGTGCGCAGGACAATAGGAAATAAAATCATGCAAAAGAAAGGAGTTGAATTCCTGCAAATGTAGAGTCATCGGCCTTCATAAGTCATCAAATTCATCGTTCGAAACACTATCTTTATTTTTTATCCACAGTCTGCAGCAACCAATAAAACATTTAATTATAACATCAATATATTTAAGCATGTTTTTTAATTAGTTATTGATGTACTTCTCTCAGGTGTTTGACTCACCTTTTGATCTGAAACTTCATATCATTGTAAAATGAACGAGTTTTGAACTTTTGGTTCTATTAAATAAGCAATTTGAAGACCTCACCTTGGTCTCTGGGAAAGTGTGATGGGCATTTTTCAATAGCTTATGACATTTTATACACTAAACGCTTGGTCGATAATAAAAGTAATCATTAGTTGGAGCAGCAGAGTGGATAACAGGCTTTACACAGCTCGACGGTAAAGCCATGTATTCTTTTATTAGTGTTTGTTGCTGCCCTCGGCTGTAGGAGTGATGAAGACCTGTTGAGTGTGAGGCCACTCTGCTGGCGCGCAGCAGGAAGACAATGCCAGGTGTTAATAGAGAAAAGAGGTCAACGTGGACTATTCTTAAATGTAAATGTAAAGGCTTTTCAGTGCAGGTGTTGTTTTTAAAGTATTCTTACAGAGGCCTGACCTTCAGAGCTGTTCTGAATAACAAGCTTTCCAGACTGTATGTGTGTGTATATCTAGATATGTTTTGTGCCATTAAAGCTATGCATTCATGAGCTGCTTAGTGTTTGTGTGGGAGGCTGTTCGAGCACACATCCAGGTTACAAAACGCACACTCTTCAACGAGAAGCTGCTGTTTTCTCATCCGAGCGCTTTTCATCACAGGAACACAGACCAAAGACTTCCCGTCTAAATGTCCTCAAGATGTTGATCTTTCCGTCCACCCACCAGCCCCCTGCCACCATCACTCTCTCTGCTTCCAGTAAATATTCGTGGCCTGTCATGTGTTATACAGTTTGATTTCATTCGCTGTGAAATATACATGGAGAAGAAAGGTAAATTTGTGCCATATGTTGGACACATGACTCCCGCTGTATGTGTCTGGGTGCCTTTGTGTGTTGTTATTGATGTAAAAGAGAAAGACGACCCCGCAGCAGTAATGGAAAATTGTCTCAGCGCTCTGTCACTGTTGAAAACAATAGGGAGCAGAATGCAGTAAAGCGTAAGATATTGGCTTTTCTCTTCATCTCTGTGCACTGCTCTTTGTTGATGTCATGGCTTGTTGTCCCATGAATTTATAAGAATTATTAAAATGTGTTTGCAGTAGCAATGAGTTTTTATTCTAAAATATATTTCAAGGTGAAGCTATAGGTAGATAGAGTGGATATAATTTTAACTTCATGAGTTTTGGGTATTGACGAATTAGGTGTCAGTGCTCATCCTTAAAGGTGACCTATTATGCTCTTCCGTGTTTTCTGTCATATTTATAATGTTACAATGTCGGATGTTCATGTAAACTCAAATAATAACGTAAACGTATTTAAAGTGGTCATATTATGCTCATTTTCAGGTTCATCATTTTATTTAGGGGTTGTACCAGAACAGGTTTACAAGGTTTCATTTTCAAAATGTCAGACTGCTGCAGCTCCTCTTTTCACCCTGAGTATTGAACGCTTTGTTTTAGCTATGGAGTGATGCATCTCACCTCTACAAGACCTTTGTTGAGAGTTCCACATGCACAGTACCTAGTTAAGGACTACTAGCCAATCAGAAGCAGAGTAGGGCGGGTCCTGAAAAGCCAGTAAACACTGGTTCTGTTCAGCTGTATACCAGCTTAGCAACATGGACTGGAGCAAGAGTTTCAGAGTGGTGAGTTATTAATTTTTTTGTGCTCTGTCTCTACATCACAGTAACAACTGTCCATTGGCTGCCTAGAGAGTAGCTAATGTTTGGAACGGAGAGAGGAGGCAGCAGGCAGACGTCTTGTCACTGTGTGCTGCAACTCAGTGTTGTTGTTCCACCGGTGTTTTTGAGGGCGTGTCTGACTAGCCGCTAGGCGAGCATTATGATGCGTGAAACCGGAAGAAAAGGCTGGACTACAAACGAGCTGTTTTCAGGCAGTTCAGAGCAGTGTTTTCTGTGGGAGATGGGAACTCCCTTTGGGTTGAACTTTGGGCTTTTTCACTTTGCAAACCTCTCACATGCACAAAAAAGATATGTAACTCAATAAAGGAGACGGAAAAGCCAAAAAAACATAATATGACCTCTTTAAAAGAAATCCTTGTGAGCCATAACCTCAGATTTCCCAATGTTGTGAACGCTCATGTGTCAACAGGTTTTTCTACTCTACCCATATATGGTCATTTGCATCAGCCCCATCCTCCTGGCAACTGCTACGCCTAATCTGTCTGTAAAGCTCAGCGCAAGACAACACACCAGTCTTTTGACTTTTGACTTTTGAGTTATTGAATATGTCGCCAAGAAAGTGCTTTTTCAGTTGAGAAGTAATTTTATTAAGCTTGTTTGGTTTTCCTAAAGAAGAAAGCTCCAAACAAGATTGGATATGGTTTCTTTTTTTGGCACGACAGCCTGGTAAACACGCTTCAGGGCCAATCACAAGAGACATGAGCACCTACAGCTTGTTTGTTTTTTAAGGCTGAAATGAGGGCCTTCGTGATTTTTTTCTTTGAGTTGTGCAAACGTATACAGGAGTCACAGAATTACAATATAAGGTTAGGAATGCAGTATAATAGCCCATCTTTAAAGCAGCTATAATCAGTATCTCCGTATCGGATTATTGGATGGATCGCCTGACTACTTGAATGTGAAAGGGGTCGCGTGTATTGATCAAGTAATTATCACCAGACTCTGCTGTTCTTTCAGCTCATTGTTTTGGTTTTCTGACCCACAACCTTACTGTTTTTATTCACCCTTTTTTGACACCTGTTTTCAGTAGAAAAAGCATTAAAAACAGACTGTTTGCTACCTGCCAGCACGACAGATACAGTTAACGACTAGCTGGTGAACATAGTGGAGCATGTAGCAGCTAAAGGGCAAGATATTTCCCTTAGAAGTTTGTGGAGACCAAAAGAGCTTAAAAGAAGATTCAATATTGGACTTACATTCGTCAGGTAGACACAAACACAACTTAAAATTAATGTTACAGTTACTGTAATGTGTCTGCACAACTGTTTGCTAACAAGTTTGGCCTATCAACATTAAAAATGTCAGTGTTGTGTTTGCAACTTGTTCCTGCTGCCCCCTTGGCCTTAAATCAGTTATTGCACGTTTTAAGATAGTGGAATCGCTTCTCCTTCACGTCCAAAGATGCCAGTGGCATCTTGTGTTGGTGACTGTGGCATCTGATTAGGATGCCTCCATTGTTACCTCTCTCTGGAAGTTGTACCGGTACTTCCAAGCAGGAGGAAAACCAGGGCAGACCCAGGACATGCTGGAGGGATAACAAAACGTATCTTATCTTGCCTGGGGATGCCTTGAGAATCTCTAGGAGTAGAAGATCATTCAGTCTCCCTTGCTAAGTTCGCTGCCACCGCTACCTGGAACCGAATACTGAAATTGAAACCAGAAAATGGATAGATTTATTTTAAATGATACTCATTTTGCTAAACGTTAGCTGGCTAAGAAATTAGTAACTTGAGTCAACACTAAAAAAAGATGATTTGATTGTTAAAAATGCAAACATTCCCAGGTGTGTGGGGGGGAAATAGCCCATATTTGGATCAAAATGATATAGGATGACAGCTATTTATGTTTCCATGGAAACAGTCAATGGAAGCTGCCATCTTTGTGGATAAACACCTCTACACTGTCAGATTCCAAAAATATGCAGTTTAATGAAAAGGGGGGGACAAGTTTCATCCGACCATAAAGGTTGTTTTTTTTTGCCCCTTTTTCGGACATTTTCCATAGCTTTCAGATGTACGTTACCTCTTTCAGCCATTTTAATGTGTTCCAGGCAACCGGATGATCACAAATGAATGCTGTTTGAAGAGGGGAATCCAACTGTTCTCATTGTAATCATGCGGTTTAACCCTTTGTGCTCTTTTTCCCTCTACAGGTGATGAGCAGTCGTTTCTTGCCCTACGACACCATAGTGACCGATGCTGTCCTCAGCCTGGATGAAGACACAGTGTTGTCCACCACAGAGGTATCTTGTAATGTATTTATAAAAAAGAGTAGAATAGAAAACTCTCTTCTTTCTCTCTTTCTCACTCCCTCTTCTTTGTCATGGTAGTCTGGTCCTCTTGAGACAAAAGAAAGTTGCAAACTCTCTTTATGTCCCAAATGCAACTCTCTGATAGCATTTTCTCTCAATTTTATATCCCTCTCTTTCTGTTTGTCCCCGGTGTTTTCAAGTTATCAGTCTGCACCTTGGTTCTTAAATCACTTAAACTATAACTTTTACTCCCAATGCCTCACTGTTTATTTATTTCTCTGCACCTATTGCCTTCTCTCTCTCCTTTTCTTCCACCTCATGGTTTGGTGCTTATAATCACATTGTACCTCCCAAATTCCCAATTTGAGAGCAGCACCGATATGGGCATTTTTGTTCCACATGCTGCCGGGACTGTTCCTGTTTTTCCTGGGGACACGTTTTGGCGCAGCACCATGGGAAGCCAGATGCTTCTTTGAACAGTGTAGAATTAGATCTCATAAAGGCTGTTTGTGCGGAGGATCAAGATGGCAAGGCAGAGCTGGCATTGAAGGGGAAATCCAGACCCAAAAAACGAATAGACCCACGTTTCTCCCATGAAGACATTTGGATCACAAACACAAACAATTCTCAAAGTTTTAGAGCCCAGGGAACATCAATGCCAGTGCAAGTTAAAAAAGAAATTCAGGAAAAAATACCATCATAGATCAGTCAGTCTCCTCATCTATGTGTCCTTCCAATCATATAAAACATTTAACTTAACAGAATAAAAGTGACACAAGTGGCATTTAAACATTTTTGGCCTGAGTTCTTCTGAGTGATTTTTTTTTTTATGTTCCAGCATGTTTTTCCAGCAAAAGTTCCTTTCGATGTGACTCACGTAGGCATCCTGGTTCAACCATCGAAATATATTTTGCTTGTGACTGGTATTGTCTTTCTCTTGCACTGAAAGCATTAGCAAAAGAGTTGGAGCTCCTTTGGGACTTATAGGCAGGAAGAGAAGATAAAAATGATGTGAACTGTATTTTATAGTGGGTTTTGACATAAGTACTCATTAATATAAGCATTCTCTCAGTGCAGTATAGTGTGGTAATACGTGCTGTAATGCAGAGGAAGCTGTTTGTGGGGCTGCTGAGGCCTTTTTGATGTTTTCGTCTAATTATTTGATTGAATGCTTTGATCGGCGCCACAGAAGTTGGCTGCAGGCAGCTGCTTAGGAAAGACTGCTTTGTGTTTATGAAGTTTTGCCTCTGTTGTATTCTCACTACAGTGTGATTGTGCACTTCCTTTGTTAGTTCTCCCTGTAGTCTCTTTTTTTCCCTCTTTGTCTTTTTTCTTACACAATATACTGCAAGTACATAGTTTTTCAACATTTTAAAGAAAATATTTCATGTTGTTTTATGTTTCACTTTCTAATAAGCCATCAAGTCTAGAGTTATAAATGTAAATATGTTGTTTATAATTGATATTGGTCTAGATACTCTGCAAGTTTTTCCAGAAGTACAACTGCAATCCTGATGGTGCATTCCCACCTAACAAACAAACAATGACAACATATTAAAAAATAGAGAGTTTGAACTAAACGAAATTAAGGTTCTAAATTTACAATAAAAGTGGTCTATTAAAGAAGTATTCCCAACGACTTCTTGGAAAGATTGTAAAGTAGCTCAATATTTGAAAAAAGCTAAACCTGTGGATAAACAGGTGAAACAGTTCGCTAAAACACTTGAAATTGTTTGCCAAACGTAATGAATAAATGGTTGAAATAAATGACGTGTTAGTGAAGGGTTACTTGAGTTCACCTGACAGGGCTATAGGGGTCTGAAAATTAGTAACCACTGCACTATAGTGTCTAACTGATGAACTAAAGAACAATCGATAAAGACAGCGTGATAATCACCTTCTAAAGGTTGTTTTTTTTATAACTGGCAACCCGAATGTTGTTAATTAATTGCTTATAACTAATATTAAGCACTACTAAATAAGTTATAAACCATTAATGTATTTGTCATAACTTAAAAAGGGCGAATTATAAGGAGGTGGCACCCATTGTGTATATATTAAATGTTCTATGTTATAATATGTTAAAATCTGTATTCCTGTCTGTCCAGGTGGACTTTGCCTTCACTGTCTGGCAGAGCTTTCCAGAGCGAATCGTAGGTTACCCCGCTCGCAGCCACTTCTGGGACAGCAACAAGGAGCGTTGGGGCTACACATCTAAATGGACCAACGATTATTCGATGGTGCTGACTGGGGCCGCCATCTACCACAGGTACAGTGCACACTTCACATTGTCGTCTCCTGATCTCTAAAACCTGGTTCCAGTACAGCTGTTTACCTCCATGTGCAGTGTTTCTCACTGTTTCACTCTGCTCTGCTGTTTTCTTTCATGCTCCTTACTTCTGTTCTGTTCCACCTTCTGTTATACAGGGATCACAGCTTTGTTCTGCTCTCCAGTGTTCAGTTGTCTTTCTTTTGATACAGCACTTTGATGCAGTGATCTGTAGTTTATGAAAGTAGTTGTGATGTTCAGTGTAGCACAGCCTCAGGAAACCAGTGTTTTGACACTGGGTATGTTTTATCCAAAAAGTGTCAATTTGTCTGCTACACAGCATTTCATAGTTCCTGCGTTTAGTCATGCTACAGCCCTGTCAGCTTTAATATGGCTTCACTCAGCTGTGATGGGAGCAGTCCATTAAGCTGAAGTCAGCCAATCACTGCAGGCAAATGCTTAATCACTTTCAATAAGTCAGTCGTTCAATCCATCCAGGAACTTGAGCAATCAGTCTGTTGATGAATTCAGGGTTTTACGCAAAGGCTTCAACCTGGAACGTAAAGGTGTCAAAAATTTTGTGGTGCAGTTAAATGAAGATGTCCACACAGTTCTTTGTGACATACACAACTCTTTCACATCTTTTGAAGGTCTGAAATTGTAGGATTCTTCATCTTCACTGTGGCATTTTCAGGCATTAGTCCAAAACAATCTTCTGAAAGTTGATGAGCATATTCAGCATTTTGCGCAGCCACTGGAATACAATGTTGGAAAATTGATCTATACAAGTTAGGTAGCTCACCTAACATAGAGCTGAGTAAGGCTGAGTCCCTACAACATGTCATCCTGTCTCTCTCAGCAGCTGTCACTATCCAATAAAGGCAAAAATAAAAAAAACCTGAACAAAGAATGCTCAAAAAGAAAATCTGGAAAAGTGTAAAGGAAATTCCGGAACACATGCAATCAGACCACATGATTTTTTTTAATCACAGATGTGTAGTTTTTACAATGTTTTGAAAACAAACTTTACCTGGAAATCACCCTTTAGTCTGCTTAATTTTCCATTTAAATGGTTTCACCTTGTTGTGTTTTAATCCACATACCATTTGTTTGAGCCGCATATACCAGATATATATATAAACAAAAACAATGCGATGAGAGCAGTGCGAATGAACTAAAACAGTAAAGTTGTGGGACAGATAAACAAGGAGATGAAACTCGTTGCGTTGGGTAGCTGAAGATTCAGGTGATAATTCTCGTAGGTTAATCAGTACGAAGCGACCCCTTTCACCATCACATTGTCATTCCTACATTGCTATTAATATAACATGCTTATTTGCAAAAGCATGTTTTAGCTCTCTCAGGTAAATGTCTTACTAAAGGACACATGGCTGCTGTTGGGAAGACAGACAATTCTCGTTAGGACCGGCCCGCCCAGACCCAGCTCCCTCTTCTTATTCTAACTCCTCTCTGTCCTCTCTGTCAGGTATTACCACTACCTGTACACGAACTACTTACCCACAAGTCTGAAGAGCATGGTGGACCAGCTAGCCAACTGTGAGGACATCCTGATGAACATCCTGGTCTCTGCTGTCACCAAGCTGCCACCAATCAAGGTCACGCAGAAGAAACAATACAAGGAGACCATGATGGGACAGGTAAGGGTGTACTAATCATGATTGGATCCATGCCATTTGTTTATTTATAATGGATTATTTTATATATATACTTTGATGACTCATTTGCGTATAGCGCTTTTTGAAAGAGCTGTCACAAGACAACACGGCGGCTGCCAGTTCAGAGAATTGGTTTGCATAAAAGAAAAACACATTACAGGATATGATTCGAACAAGTAACAATTGTACAACTTTGGACTCGAAACAGGCTTATTATATAATCCACTTTGATTTTTGTCCTCCTTTTTTATAAAAGTGACTCATATAAGCTATTGTTGTTTTTCCCCCCGTTGTGTGTGCGCCACGGCCTTTCAGCTGGAGCAAACTCTTGCTGCTTTATGAACAGCATGAATTATTCTCTTAAAGTTCTTTGGTACGACCCAGGGGTAAACAGGACAAGTCACTTACAGCGGCAAGACAAAAGCACAGAAAGGAGTTTCTAGTCAGGTTCCAGCCTCCCAAAGATAGAATATGATCCAGCTAATGATTTATTGAGAAACATTAATGTCAGTCATCATTCTGTAATGGTTTTCTCTTGTCACAGTGTCAGAAGTTGTTACTATGATTGAATGAAATGATTGCATTTGATTGTAATTGTCAGTCCTTTTCATTAAAAGAGAACGTCTCTTTCGTTTGGTGCACCCCTACATCCACACTAGATAAGTTCAAGTGTCCATTCATCGACACCATCTGTCACGGTCCAAAAAAGTTGAATTGAATTGACTGAATTTTACAGCATTTTTAGCCAATTATGTCAACTGTTAATCCATTACTTTCAGCTAATTATACTGAACAAAATCATAAACGCAACACTTTTGTTTTTGCCCCCATTAATCATGAGCTGAACTCAAAGATCTAAGACTTTCTCAATGTACACAAAAGGCCTATTTCTCTCAAATATTGTTCACAAATCTGTCAAAATCTGTGTTAGTGAGCGCTTCTCCTTTGCCGAGATAATCCATCCACCTCACAGGCGTGGCATATCAAGATGCTGATCAGACAGCATGGGTATTGCACAGGTGTGCCTTAGGCTGGCCACAATAAAAGGCCCCTCGAAAATGTGCAGTTCCATCACACAGCACAATTCCACAGATGTTGCAAGTTTTATGGGAGCGTGCAATTGGCATGCTGACTGCAGGAATGTCCACCAGAGCTGTTGCCCGTGAATTAAATGTTCATTTCTCTACCATAAGCCGTCTCCAAAGCTGTTTCAGAGAATTTGGCTGTACATTCAATCGGCCTCACAACCGCTGACCACGTGTAACCACACCAGCCCAGGTCCTCCACATCCAGCATCTTCACCTCCAAGAATGTCTGAGACCAGCCACCCGGACAGCTGCTGCAACAATCAGTTTGCATAACCAAAGAATTTCTGCACAAACTGTCAGGAACCGTCTCAGGGAAGCTCATCTGCATGCTCGTCGTCCTCATCGGGATCTCAACCTGAGTGCAACGTCACACAGCCATTGATGAGGAGTGGACCAACATTCCACAGGCCACAATCAACAACCTGATCAGCTCCATGCAAAGGAGATGTGTTGCACTGCGTGAGGCAAATGGTGGTCACACCAGACACTGACTGGTTTCCGGACCCCCCAGACACCCACAATACAGTGAAACTGCACATTTTCGAGTGGCCTTTTATTGTGGCCAGCCTAAGGCACACCTGTGCAATACCCATGCTGTCTGATCAGCATCTTAATATGCCACACCTGTGAGGTGGATGGATTATCTCGGCAAAGGAGAAGTGCTCACTAACACTGATTTTGACAGATTTGTGAAGAACATGTGAGAGAAATAGGCCTTTTGTGTACATTTGTAATCCTATTCGGATGTTTATCGTCCTCCTATACAGAATTAGTGGATATATGAAATCAGAATGACTATTTTTTCAAATTAATTGAGATAATGATTAATGATTTGACTAATTGACTCCACAATCTTTACACGTGTCCCCAAACAACAGCAGAAGTGTACCCCCTGGTTGAGAATCACTGATCTAAAGCAATAATTATTCATAACACTGAATCCCAGCAATTAATAATGCTGATTCTAAACTTGTTCTTTTGTTTTCCCTCTTTCTCGTCGTCTGCTTCATTCCCACCAGTCTTCGAGGGCTTCTCGCTGGGCCGATCCAGACCACTTTGCCCAGCGGCAAACTTGCATGAACAAGTTCGCCAGCTGGTTTGGCGCCATGCCGCTGGTCCACTCGCAGATGAGACTGGATCCTGTCTTGTTCAAGGACCAGGTCTCCATTCTCCGCAAGAAATACAGGGACATCGAGAGGCTCTGACAGGACAAGCGCCCCCTTGGGGGAGACCCCACGCAGGGGGAGGTGCGAGAGCGAGACTCTGTGGAGAGTAGGAGGAGTAGTAAGACTACAGCAGGATGGACAGGGAGCGACACAGCTCTGTCTTCCACTCAGCACATTGCCAATGACCACAGCGCCGCTGCTGCCAGGACTTGATGCGGGAAGGGATGAATAGGAAACAAGCAGATGGCGTTTGGATATGAAATACACAAACAAAAACCGCAAACACAGACAGATAAAGAGGAGTACACAAACTGATGGACATGCCAAACAGTACTGTATGTTTTGCAAATGTGCAAACACGCAGCACACACTACTGACGACGAGAACTCTTGGATAGAATATTTTTTTGTACGACATGAACAAGGACGACATTGACTTTCCTGCTCTCTCGGCACATGTGCAGGATGGTAGAAGATGGAAGGTGGCCAACATCGCAAACCTGGCAACCCCGCCCACCATAAATCCTAGCGGTCGCCCCTAGCAACCCTCCCCAGTCTGCATCAGGACTTAATACTGGACTCTAATACCCTCTGCTTTATAGCCCAGGAAACCCTGTTATCTAGTTGATTTGATTTCTGTACAAATCAGCACTCTGGTAACAATGTTGACCCTTTGTCCTCTCTGAGAGGTTTGAAATCAGAGCGTCAACAGTTTAATATTTCCATTCTCAAAGGCAGAAATGGTAAACAGCGGAATCCAACCTGTCATTACTGTGGCCTGATAGCAAAGCAGCCATTATTTCTAAGATTCTAAGCTATCGACACACATCCTTGAGCCTGGAGTCTGAAAACATCCTGTCTGTCCTATCCTTGGCTCATTCCTTGATGTGCTGATATGGCTTTTATAATGGTCTATCTGCTTCCCTGTTATCACTAAGATAAACTAGAAAAACATCTCGTTTCATATCCCATTTTCCTCTCATACTCGGCATGGCAGTTGTACTTTTCTCATCTTTTTTTCCCCTCACTTACTTTCATCATCTTATTTCCCTCCTCAAACTCTCTGTACTTTCACTCTTCTGTGTGCGTGAGTGTGTGTGTGCGTGTTGTTGTGTACAGAGCCTTGAAAAGTTGGCTCATCCAACCATAAGCTCAAGCGGAGTACATTTTTCCTCCGTTGCAATGAGCGAAATGAACATTTCTGGATGAAATGGAGCAGAACGTTGCATTCTAACCCAAACTCGTTTCACCAATTTATTACTTCCTGCAATGGAAAAAAATTTCAGACCATTGCAGGTCTTTAGTGACCAGTGTCATTTCACAGGAGTGCTTGTAGAGAGATTTTTAACGCTGAGCACTTCAGTGCCATTCTGACATCAGGGTCTGCCTTTAAAATTGTCTATTGCACGTCACGTTGCCTACATCATTTTGAGATGCCTAGATGCTCTCGTGTTCTAGTCATCAGTCCAATGTGGCTATCCGGCCGCCATGATTTTTTTTTCCCCGTGACATATCAGAGGACCTCAGAGCCATTAAATTGACGAAAGGTTTTCTCCTCCATTTGTCAGGCTGAGATACGTTTTTGCTGCAATTAGGTAATCCTTTTTCATTTGGAGTGCTGTTTTATTCCCAGGGGACAAGCTGCTGACAAAACACTAACATTATGGACCATTGTGTTGTGAAAACAGTGACCCCCACACATGACCTGCCGGCTATTGTTAGCCTTGGAAGGACAGCTTTTTATCCCCCCCCACCTCCCCTGTGTCACCCTGACTGTGGCTGTTACTCACATCGCTGTCGTATCCACATCAAACTGCCTGACATTTTGCACCTTAAATGACTTTATTGCCATTGAACAACCAGATCAAAATGCTAAAATAACTAGCTATCTCGAGTTTTAATCAATCATTTTGGAGAGAAAATGTTGTGTAGCAAAGCTGCTACGCGCTGTCATTAGGTCTGCATGCAGCATGCGGCCGAGAACACAGGCAGCCCACTCTCACATTCAGTTCGCAGACACTTGAATGAAAGCAGCGTGCTTTTAGTGGCCTTTCTGTCGGGCAGGCATTCAGCATGTCTCAGCCAAAGCTTTTCAGTGTGTTTGTGTTAATCAGTAGCTGACATCACACATCAATATCGAACATTTCACATACGACTGTTTTACTCTGGGGGGGTTTTCATCGATTTGTTTTCATTTTGTTCAACAAATAGTTAATTTCAAATGTATATTAAAGCCTTTATAATGTCGACAAATGTTCATACGATGAAGTGTCATATCCAAATACTACTACGGTACAACTTCTCTGTTTCAGCGAATCATATCAAACCCAGCAGGACTATCATGTTTTCTCACATCATTGTTTTTAATTTCATGTTTGTATTTACATTCTGAAAGTTAAAAGTTTGGAGTGTTTGTTTGCCAGGAGAGCTTTATAGCGTCACAACAGTAAATGTTCACTCATCTGCAATACGTGATTCCAGGCTGAAAAAAAACCTACTCCTCCCTTGGTCTGCATCTGGTCCCTATTTCATCTTCACAGAACCATATTGTTTGAATCCATAATCAAGCTTTTATGTGTGATCGTTTGAATCACTGTTGTTGATCATCTCAAGAGAACCACGCCCCCCAAGCTTTGCAGATATTTCACACACATGAAAAACCAACCCACGGCCCATTTCAAATCCCTGTGACTCTCAGCACTGTACATAGGCATATATTTATTTTTTGGGAAAAACAAAAAACAGACTGTGTACGATTTAAGACGTGTTGAGAACCTTAGACTGATCCTGCATCACTGAGGGGAGTTAATGGTATTTATTCAGTTTATTTTCCACACGCTGTGCACATTAATCCGCAAAGATGCCAGATACAGCTCACATTATGTTTCACTCTGCATTGGTTTTTCAGGGAAACGTATATCACGCTCTTACTCATACAGAACTCCCCAAGAGAGATATAACATTTTCAGTCGTAGTGTAGTGGTGGAGTTTTAACTCCCGAAAAAACTGCATACACCAGTGATCTAGAATTGGATTGGGCCGCACCATCTTGGCTCTCTGTGGGAGGCAAATTGCAAAGTCCCAATAAAGACTACGCCAACTGAAACATGGAAAGTAATAAGCAGCTGGGTCCCCTGTACCAGATGGAAACATTTTCAGATTCTGCTGTTAATACCCCCCCCCCCCATGCTTTATAATAATGGGTCTGAGGCTGTGACATAGTTGTTTAAATTGCCTCTTTCAAAAGTTGGTTTCAGGTCAGATAACTTGGCAGCAGAAACGCCACCATCTTTCAGTTGGCGTGCCGCACAATGCATCATCGAGTCCAGAGCTTTAGTCAGAGTGTGATGGCCACCAGGAAAACCTCTGCATGCGCTAAAACGCCTCTGTCATTTGATCAGAAGGGAATATTATGCAAGTTATCATTGTGTGCTTCAAAATAGATGGAAAGAAGGTTTATGAAAAATGTGCCAGCCAGTTGGTGTTTATAGTGGCGGCGTGTGCTGGAAACTGGTCTGTAATTGATTTGTGCCTTTTATCAACGTGTGAGTTCTTGACATGCCGAGCACTGTCTGTCCAAGGCTTGTTGTTTCCAGTAGACGGGCAGCAATAGCACCATACGCAGGGGCCCGAACAGCCCTGCCTTCATACACTGGATGAGTCACAGCTTCCATTCTCTTTCTATAATGCCCTGTTTTCATCTTTGTGTTTGGGACACTGTTGCTAAGGCGACAACGTATGACCACTTCCTGTTTTGGGATTATTTATCAGTGATTGGCTGTATCACATTACCAATCGGCAGTAATATCTGTTGATCTGTAAGGACTCGGTCAAACCCAGCTGTCCTGATGCCTTCTCCTCCCTCCTACCGTGTAATTAACAGAAGACTTTTATAGAGGTCACAAATGAAATAGATAAATGCCAATTTTGTAAGAATGATTTATAAAAAAATAAACTCATATTTGATGATAACCGCATGTCCTTGTGCCATTTTTTAACAGGTTTTAGCGTTTGCATTCAAAACACCTTGTGATTTGCCTTTTAATGACACTTTTTTTACCTTGTTGCTTTTATTGAGTAACATCATGTTGAACTAGTCTCTAATGTGCTCAAACTACTACCAACTTTTTTTTTACCAAAAACAGTATAGAAAACTGGTGTTGCATGTCTGGTCAGATTCATATTGATTTTTGAGGCCAATACTGATCAAAATTTTGCCAGTTACAACGCATCAACAGATATTCATGATAGTTAAAGAACTGTTAGAAATGTATGAGGGTAACTCCTGATGACTTTCTGATGACAAAACTTTAGCCTTTCTATACAGCAGTTTTGATCTGACCTGATTACTTTCTTTTGCCAATTCTGAGTTCTATGTTCAACAGGTCTGAATTATGAAAAGCTTTTGTTAAAAAATTTCTCAAAGTAAGGTATCAAAGAAAGTATCGATTCTGAAACTCTGGTTGTGAATTAGTAGCAACAAGTTTCAAACAATATCCAGCATCACCAATACAAGGGCATCTAGTGTTTTGGCTTTCTTGTGTTAAAAAAGACGCATCTCAGAACCACTCAAGCTAGACGAACCATCATGAGCACAAGCACAAATTTCATACCGATTGTTTCAGATCTTGACAATTTGTCTCGAACAGGCAAATAGTGGTCTAATCTGCGCTAGACTAGGTTTGCACAATTTGCACAGCAAATCATCATAACAGCTTCTTCATAACACATGTGGTCTCACTAATCTACAGTGTCAGTATCACTCTCTCTTTACCTACATGCATGTAACAGTGTCTGAGGACTCATTTTATCCTGAACAATAACACTGTGGCAAAATGACAAGAGGATATGCTGACACGGGGACTGGTGGTTTGTGGTTGTGTGCGCGCTTGTTTCTGTGCACACGAGTGTAACCTTGCACAATTTCATTCGGCTTCATCATTTTTGCGACAAAGCATGCATGGACCTCTGACCTCTGCCTCAGCTGAATGAGAACACACTCCTTTTGTACTGTAATAATACTCCCTCAATGCTGCATTGCCCTCGGAGATATAATAACCACCCCTGTATTAGACCACTGAGGAGGGGTTTATTAGTCACTACTCGGGGCATTGATTTTTTTTTTTTTACTCTGCTGAAAGCCTTCTCGCTGCTCCAGTGCTGCATCTGTCCTTCTGCGTCTCCCTGAGGACAATAGCCTCATAACACATCGTAGATATGACCCCAGCTTTGCTCTGAATTATTAAACACACCCGTGATCAGGCATTGATATTCTCCTGTATATCCCTGACCTGACAGTGATACCGTATGACCATGTGTTTGTGTGCGCGCACATGTACTCACACAAGATTTTAGCTCATGTGAATTTTTCTCTCTCTTACTCTGTCCTCATCTATAAATCACATAAGCAAAACATAAGCAGAAATCAAAGGCTTGGACTTGGGCTTTGGAGTAAAAGCATTAAATCAACTTTCCTAACTGACTACGAAATGACTCCTCGCTCTGCTAATATTCAGGAGCGCTCCAGAGATGTCCTAACCTGGAGTTGCCAGGAGATGGTGTTCAGGCACAGAAATGCACACACAGAAAGAGATATGTTTATTAATGACTGTGTGCTTATTAACACTAACATTATTTTTTTTGTTAAATTGATGGACCTTGTGCAGAATGCAAGTCCACGCTCGCTCTCTCTCTCTCTCTGCATAAACCGAGATCCCTTTAACGTCACGGCGACAGCAGGTGAAAATGCAGCTTTGCAACGGCAGTGATTTGGTTCAGTGTCACAACCACCAATTTCTGCAGTAATAAATCAAACTTTGATCATACATCTCCTCAGATAATGACCAGGTTTATTTACTTACAAACCACTCAGGTGAGCCATATTTAAGAGGTATGTTTATATTGTTAGTAATAGAGGTAGACCTATAAACCGGCCAGGTTGACATATCTGCCAAATGACAAAATAGGTCTGAATAATTTAGAAACAGTGTCATTGTATTTATACACTGTAAAATATCACATTCAGTAGACTCTTTTTTACTCTCAAATATCGATGTCAGTATTGGCCTCAAAAATCCATTATTGGTCAGGTTATAGTTCCTAAATAAATAAACAAATTTTCCTCACCTGTAAGAATACATACGTTAACAGGAGCTGCAGTTGAAAGGTGAATTGAACAGTGGAAAGAGAAGATAAATTCCATGTTATAATTGAGATGTGCCCACAGCACAATACATGCGGGATGCGGCACCAATGTAGGCAGTGTAATATTATGTGACTAGATTAAGGCTGAATGGGATGTGTCACGCAGCTTAATCAAATTGTCTATTTTAATTGCATATACATGCATTGTTTAAGCTTCATCAGTGGCTTGCCAGTGTTTACTTACAGCCTTTTGAGAAGGTCCAGCCTTTTGAGAAGGTTATTATTTACCAATAAGCCTTTGGCTTTGGCCCCAAGATTTTTTAATTAATTTTAGCATCATATTCTTGCAATTATATCCCAGTTGCCTATTGTATTTACAAACAAAACGTAATAGTGTTTTTTTCTGCATTTCAAATGTTACCACTGTTAAATATTTCAAACCGAGAACTACACCATGTCATTAAAATGTTTACTTTGCAGCTCAGCGTGTCATAAAACTGCTCCGAGCGTTTCTAGTCCTAGATTCACTTTTAGCGCGATTACTTGGGGTGATTCTAAGATGCTTGATGAATACACACATATACACCGATGAACAAAAATTACAGCACACAACAGCATTGATTTTTTTTTCAAAAATCACAGCAAGATTTATAGTTCAGCAGAACCCTTAAGAAGGCATCATGATGACAGGTCAAGTCAAATCAGAGTAGAACATTAAAATTAACATTGGTGACTTTATATATTACATCACATAGAAAAGTCCGATCAATATAAGAAGAATACGACTCATAATTTTGCCACAGTGTCTTTGTCATTTAAATTTAGGACTTTATTCTAATACTATGAAAGTAACAATAATTTGAGGATTAAATAGAATATATCAATGTGTCTATACAGGCATAAACCCTCTAATGAGCTAGTGCCTACCAATAGATAAAACATGTTATATCAACTCTTCAGAGTTGATATATCATGAAGAGTCATGTCATAATGCTGATTAAAATGTAGAATATCGAGGTAGACAGAATATTTTCTGCCATCACCCACGCTGATGTCATCAGCACCCTCCCTCCTCCCAGTGTTTTATTGGGTATCCCCTCACCTCCCTGTGCTGTCAAGCCCTTTCTTCTTCATTTCTCTCCTCTCGTTTTTCCTTCTACTCTTTCACGTCTTCTTCAGGATATGGGTTCATATTGCCAAAGTCCCCATTTCTAAGTCCCTATTTCTTCTGTAAAGTGCAGTCTCAGCCAGTCTGTGGTACCCTGTCACACGTCCATTTAATGACCGTATCTTCCTGTCCATTAGTATATGTATGAGTGTGTGTGTGTGTGTTTTTTATATGAATGTGCATGTGTGGCTCAGCTCCTGACGGCCAGCATGGAGTTGATCTCCCAGATGAGGTTGCGGAGTTGGTCCATAATCTGCTTCAGCTGCTGGTTCTTCTGCTTTAGCTTCTGCAGGACAAAAATGACAAAAAGAGGGAAAAAAATATTTTTAGATGCAAAAAACAAATACCTAAAAACAAATTTTGTCTCCTGAAACAATTTAACTCCAGGTTAACAAAAGATCAAAAGGTCAAACAACTGAAAAAACATTTCAACAAACAACATAGCAATAAACTTTTCAGCAGTAGACAAATAATTCATGGCTTACAGGATATTAAAGTACATAGCACTGGTATTAAAGTTTTTCCCATCAGCACTACTTAAGCTTCATGCTATCAACACAGCACAAACTTCACACTTCCTCAACTTTAAGTCCTTGTAAAATATAATTTACTAAACCACATAACTGAGAAAAACTGATTCCAGATGTGATCTTATTCCTAATGAATGTGCTGTTTTGCTGCTGGCATGAGAAAATGAACAGGAGGAGCTGTGAGGAGAAACATATTTGAAGATTCTGTTTCCCTTCCAGGTTACACTGAAAACAATCTAAACCAAAGTTAAATATGTTACCTGACGGTTGTGACATTGTTTCAAGGTTTTTATGCTTTAGCTGTGTTTGAAAGTAAAGACTGTGGATTTGTAGGCATAGAAGTATCACAACTAAGGCCAAATATGAGTGTGGCCAAAAAAAAAATAAACCCCAATTTTTTTTTCCTATCATCAACTAATGCCTTAAAAAAGACAATGCTTTGATCTTACTAACAAGTATTGTCCAAAAATGTACAGAAAAACACATCAACACGTCACACTGTTGCACGGGGTGACCTGTTCCTTCATTTCAATGAACTTGACCACTGGATTTTGTTTACTTTATTTGGGGCAGCGACCTGCTGCCTTATGCCTGGTGCACACAAGATTTACAGATCTTTTTAAAATGTGGGATACTACAGACATAACGACAGAATTAACCGATCTTAAGAACGCACACACCAGACAATTGAGTTAAGATGCAGGACTACGCACTTGTTTATACTAAACGGTTTCAGAGTGACGATTCCTGTGAGCACCAAATGTGTATTCATCCGCAGCTTGAAATAGTCTCCAAAAAATTCCAACAATTTTCTCCTGTTTTCAGCAACATCTGCTAATAACTACATTGCCCAACTGTTCTAGGAAATTAGAAGTCTTTTTTAGACTAAGAATCTACAGCATTTTTCCTCGCTGGGCTCAAACTGTCAGTCTGAACACTAGGTTAACACATGCCTTATCCTTTCACAGTATGTTCAGAGTTTGTATGGGATGAGGATTAATAAAAGTTTGAAAGCCACATTTAACAACCGTTTCTTCCTTCAACATACAATAGACTTTTCCCACCTGCCCACTGACCTCTCCCCAAATACTTTGTAGTACTTTAACTTGATCAATCCTATCTTCTGCTAATCGCTAAACTAACACGTCTGCCCTGCTTCAGGGGTATACAGGTACATCACAGAGGAGCAAACAACCCAATCTCCCCATCAGTCACTGAGGGCTTTGTCCGCTGATTGCCGCTGAATGCGCCACAAGATCTCTAAGTCAACAGCTGCCGTGGACTGAAGTATCTCATTGCACAAACTTTGTACATAAACAAATAATGGCTGCTGCCGCTGAAAACAGGTACAGCTGCCAAACATGTGCTGCTTTTGAACAAATAACTCAGGCAAAATATCTACATTTGAAGGTTCGGGCAAAGTTAGCTACAGCAGTACATCACAGCTACTTGCTCAGCTGCTTTTCATCTGACAGATAGCCATAGAGAGAGAGACAGAGAGAGCGAGAGAGAGAGAGAGAGGGGGGAGCGCTCCTTCACTCAGGAGCTACTGTATCTGCAGTGCAGTGAAATCTATTAAGATTAAATCCATCTTACTCTCTTGGTAACACTCCTTTAGCCATGACTAATTACCAGCCATTTTTGCAGTGCAGATAACACCTTGGGCAATCGATTTCACACAGCTCTCTTAATATCAACTGTTTAGCTGATTGTCCTTGAAGATATTTTAGAGTGGAACACTTGGAAGCCTTCCAGTGTCTCTCTCTCTCTCTCTAGGGGTCTCTCACTGCTTCTCAAGCTCTCTCACTCTTTCCTCTTTCTGCCCCTTTCTATCTCTCACTTCGATTATGTGTGTGTGTGTGTGTGTGTGTGTGTGTGTGTGTGTTACAGGGGATATGCCTCATTACTCTGACAAGCAAGTCTTGAAATAACTCGGTCATCTACTCTGCATTAATGAGATGATATCACGAACGTTTGTAATTTCAGTCAAAACAAAGAATACAGCGCTGGTCTTTTTTTAACAGCCAAACAATTTTTTTTATGTGAAAGTTTGTTTGTTTTTTAACACAGCTACAATCACAGATATATTTTTCATCTCGGTTTTCAAGCGTAAATGGGCAGATTTGGCGTCAAAGACTAAATTTGCTGCTTTTGAATAAAGATTCTTCCACAAAAATCTTCTCTCTGCTTTCTTTGAAACCAGACATGAAATTCCACATTTTTCACAGTGGAAATAAGTATACGGAGGCAGCAAAGCCTTCACGGCGCGTTCATTATAAAAGGCTCGCTGGCATATCTTGATATATGAATAATAAGACTGCTATTATCACAGAAATGATTCTGCAACCTCAGGGAGACATAATTCCATTCATAACCTCATAATTAGCACAACTCTAATCCTTCACACCTATAATACGATGTTTGGATAAAGGGTATACTACAGAGAACAAGCTGAGAAAAGGAGCTCTGAACCATCTCCTTTTTTTCTGAAGTACAACACACACTCACAACAGCACAAACAGCTCTACAGGAATCCAGCGGATGCACTGTCTCATTTCTTGGCCTGCCACTCAACGGCCGGGCCACACAATAATGTTTTGATTCCTTTTCAATCCACAGTAGGCCTCTTCTGACACGCTCTGACACTGCATCAGCCGCGGCAGGGTGGCCAGTCAACAACTCATGAAAGTAAACAAGGAAGCGCTGCCTGAGCTCCTGTCTCCGAAGGCCTCCTGCAGACTGGCAGGCTGCCTACCTGCTTCATCCTGGAAATGCTGGCAGACGTTGGCGGAGGAGAAAAGTGGAAAAGTACAGTGACCCGAAATGGAGATTGGCATGCACAGAGGAGGTGCATTGAGATGCGGTTAGCTGAGATGTGTGTACGCTTGTGTGTCTGAGGGTGCACAGCTGTGCAAGTGTTTATGGTCTGATGGGCATGTGTGTGTATGTGAGCATTAAAATACGAGCTTGAGGGTGTGGCTGGACATGAAAACGTCAGTGTGTAACGGATGCAACAATTCGATCCATTGATGTGTGTCTGCACCGAAACTGACCTTATTAAGCTGAACAGCTATTGGCCAAGAGACCAATCCAGAGTTTTCGGTTCATTTTCAACGTAATTTCCATTACAACTTCCCAAAATAAATCTCTTCAAGCAACTTATTTTGTTAGACCATCAACCTAAACCTAAAAGTATTCATTTGACAGTAATATGTGAACAAGAAAGAGTGAGACTGCAGGGAACCAAGGTCACTTGTCTGTGTAGCAAGGTCACTTGTCTGTGTAGCATTTTTCCTTGATAACTTTTCTGTCAAACGGCTTTAAACTCCCATTCAGTCAATGTCCCAGCTCGTTATTGGTCCATGCTAAAAAAAAATCTGGTGTGGTTCTTTGTCTGTAGTACCTTATTCTTTCGCCAAATCTTCTGTAACTAGGGCATAGACAATCTGCTTCATGTTTACACCAGCACACACATGCCCAGTGTATGTGAATGGCCACTAGATGTGCATTTTCAGTCGTTTTAATATAGACGGAGATCAACTCTAAAACACAGCTAAAACGCTGGTGTGGACGGAGAAAACTCCGTCCACACCAGCAAACAAAAACGGAGTTTTAAATCGAATACGATGTGGATGGGGCCTTAGACATTAGAGACACTGAGACATGACACTATGTTTAGAGTAGGGATGAAACGATTACCGGTTAAACGATAAACCATGGTTAAATTCCTGACGGTTATTATTACCATACACATTTTAAATACCATGATAACCGGGTTCAGTTACCACGCTATTATAAACTCACGGCAAATACTGTCCAGCATCAACCAAAGTTAACGTCTCCCAGAAGCAGGCGCGCACGGGCAATATGCAACGTGGGTTTGTTTGGGTCTGGTTGTATTTTAGTTTTTATGAGAGCGCTGAGGGAAACTTGATTGAAGAAAATAATCTTATAATGAATAAAGTGAGTTAACTTTTATCTTTGGTTTGTCTGTCTGACGCTGACAGCTTGTAAGCTGAAGCTCTCAGTGTTGCTGCTCTTGTAAAAACGCTATACGCTGTTCTACTGATGTGTGTGTCGTGTGTCTGCAGACTCCATTCATCCACTGCATCATGGTAACACGTTACGCATTTCAGTCAACCAACCAGCATATCTTGTTAATTTTAAATCCAGCAGCTATCAAATTTGTTGTAAAAGTAGAACTGGAGAAATGCTATTGTCAGTTGTTGGGCTCATTGCAGTTACTATCACTGTCCTCTAAAGACTTATTTGTTTTTTATATAATTGTGAATGGGGTCATTGCATTACCTATAAAATATAAAAAAATAAAATCTTGATAATGCACGCTTTTATTTATTACTTACTTAATTACTTATTTTATTGTTTATGCAAACAAAACGGCAATTTTATTTGTAGTTTTCAATATAAAACTGAAGTTCTGTATGTGTGAACAGTCACCCCAGATCTTAAAAACACGTGTGTTACATGTTTTAGACCCGCTGAAAGTGATAGTGTGTCTGTCGATGCATTCAAACCTTAATATAAGGCATAAGCCTTAAAAAAGTATAGGACATTACAACTACAAAAAGTGTAGTTGACATTTCAACCTCATTTTATCCTACACATAGAATTATATTAATCAGTCCCACACAGAGAGGTTTACAGATGTTATCAGGTCCGTACTTGGTGTCAGGCAAAGCACAGAGTTAGGGCATCTGAATCAGTATCGGGGGAGGAAAATTTCCGTCAGTGCATT